GAAGGTGTCAGTCGGCGTGAGTATCACCCAGGACAGAGAGTTTGGAGTGACTGACCCCCAGCCTCGTAGGGGAACCAGACGCTGTGCACATCTGAACGGCACTTGACAGTCTACAGGGCATATTCCCTTGGTCTCGGTGAACCCTTGCCACCGCCCGGGGCGGAGTCAGAAACTCAGAGGGGAGGGGCTGTGCGCTCCACTGGCCAGAGAGAGAGGAGAGGCCACTGGGACGGGGGTCTGCCTCCAGATTCAGGGCTCTTCCCGCTGGGGCCTCACACCGCCGCAGCTCGGCGGTTAGGAGACACGGGCCGGAGAGTGTAACACGGACATTCTTATTTTTATTAACAATCTTGAAGGTGTTAGCATTTGATACAGGTCTTAAAGATTATTTTCCCGCTCTGGCTGGCATATCTCAGTGGATTGAGCTCAGGCTGCGAACCAAAGTGTCACAGGTTCGATTCCCAGTCAGGGTACATGCCTGGGTTGCCAGGCCACAGCCCCTAGCAACCGCACATTGATGTTTCTCTCTCTCTGTCCCTCTCCCTCCCTTCCCTCTCTGAAAATAAATAAATAAAAATTTTTAAAAAGATTCTTTTCCCTTTTACCACTTTAACAGGTCATTGTAGGAGGTTTTGAAAGTATAATCAAATGCAAAAAAAACCCCAAAGATTATAATCTTGGCACACGGGTGCTGCTGCTGCAAATCATTCACATTGTTTCTTCCAGGTTTTTTCTCGGCATTTTTCTCTAACTAGTTGAGATCGTTTACTCCATAGAGTTTGGATTTTTTCTCCTTTAACTTATATTTCATCATGTTCCCTCTGAATGGGCTGAACTTCCAGCAGGAAGGGAGGGTATGTGGCGAGGGAGTTCTGGACCGGGGACAGGCAGAACCGGGAAATGCAGGGCGGACTGGGAAATACAGAGTAGTCACTGGAGGCTGGCGGTGCCTCTGTGAGGACCTGACGGTCGGCACGGAGTCTAGGCGGACCTTGAATGTCAGGTGGTGGGGAGCCCGGAATGACAGGCTAAGGGACCTGTAGCTTATTCTACTCTCCTAAAAGAATAATACACCTTATGTTGTACATTATCTAGAAAAATACAAATGACAACAAACACTTAGAAATAATTCATGATCGAACTGCCCGGATATGATGGCTGTTCATGTGTTGATATGTGTATAATCTTCTAAATTTTTCTGTGCAAATATTTCTTCTTTTCCCCTCAAATGGGGACATAAAACACGGATTCTTTTCTAACTGGATTGTAATTCCATTAACATCTTTCTTGGCCTCCCCTCCCGCTTCTCTCTCTGTCCTCCTTAAACACACTCGTGTGCCCACACACAAAATTATGAAACAGTGATAAATTTAATGAACACGAGCAATAACTGTACTCTGAAAACTATTTAAAAAATCACCCCCTGGCTGGCGTAGCTCAGTGGATTGAGTGTGGGCTGCGTACCAAAGTGTCGCAGGTTCGATTCCCAGTCAGGACACATGGCTGGGTTGCAGCCCACGGCCCCCAGCAACCGCACATTGATGTTTCTCTCCCTCTCTCTCTCTCTCTCTCTCTCTCTCTCCCTTCCCTATCTAAAAATAAATAAATAAAACCTTTTAAAAAATCACCGAGAGAAATTAAGATAAATGTAAATGGTGCGCTATACCATACTCAAAGGCTTGAAGATTCCATATCGTTAAAATGCCAATTCTCCCTCCACACCTGACTCATAGATTAGACATAAGGGCATTCCAAATATCAGCAGAGTTACTTTGAAACACTGAGTAAGCGAATTCTGAGATTTCTGTGGAAACGCAAGGCACAGGGGACAGCCGAGACAAGGAGGACACAGAGCAGAGCTGGAGGACGTGCACTGCACGCTCTCCAGACCTGCCAGACAGCGAGCGGTGACCGAGAGAGGCTGCATGTCCACGCACAGACCGACGGCCCCTCACAGAAAGTCCGCGAATAGACCTACACGTGCGCATGGTGCACTGATTTCTTAGCCAAGGTGCCGGGACAACGACATGGGGGGAAAGGATAATTTCTTCAACAGAATGTGCTGCAATAATCGGTTGACTAGATGCACAAAAATGAGCTAGAGCTATAAGCCTTCTTCAAAAGAAAAAAAGGAGGAGATCTCAGTGATCTTGGATTAGGCAAGGATTTTGAAAACAGAACACGCATGACGCGGCCCCTCCTGGCCACGGGACAGTCACAGCTAGGGTTCACCTTTCTAGGATGCGCAGGCCCGTGGTCCGAGCCGCACTCCAGTGGCCCCGTTCCTGGAAGGGGAGGAGGGGCAAGGCCTGGTTTGCCCCGAGACTGGGGAATAGACAGACCGGCCCTCAACAGGTTCTGCAGCTTGCCTGAGATCTTATCGCTTGCCAGTCTGGGAAACTCCTGAGTTCTTTAAGCCAGACTCTGGGTACCTCGCACGAACCCCAGGAGGCTGTCTGCTTCGGTTTAACTGGGGTCGTGCCTGCTGGCCGGCGGTGTCCTTCGAAGGCAGCTCTGTGTCCAGAGGACCTGGCTCACTCACTGGGAAGCCTTGCGAAGCACTTACTCCGCTGGCGGAGAAAGCGGGCTCTTGGGAGCGGGCAGAACCGAGTTGACAGATTTCCCCTCTGCCTCTTGCTGGCCACATCACCTGACTTGACCTCCTGAGCCTCCGTTTCCCCTCCTACGTGAGGAGGTGAGCATGATGCCCTCCCAGCCCAATGACCAGGTGACCTGGGTAATGGGCCTGGCCCAGTGCCCCACACCCTGTGCACCCAGCAAGTACCCACTCCGTGACCCTTCTCTCCAGGCCTCTGCAAACTGCAGGGCCCTTGGGTTTCAGTTACGGACAGACCAGGCCTCGGGTCGGCCGTGGGACACCCGGGGGGCCACCCCTGAGGTGGTGCCCGGCTCGCTCTCACCCCCAGCGGAAGTGCTCCCGGCAGCGCAGGGAGGAAGGAGCCTCGTGTGTGACAGGGGTCTAGGATGGTGCTTGCTTCCGGGAACACCCCTGTGCTTTGTGATTAGCATTTAATAAGCTCCCAGAAAGCTTTGAAGATAATATTACGTCTCTCTTCCCTTCCAGCTGATGATCTGGGAGTGATACACTTACACCTAACGTCTGTGGTGATATTCGGAGGCTCTTGAAAGGAGTTGAGACTTGTTCTTATCTTTTAAAAGAAACTAGCCCTGGCTGGCGTAGCTCAGTGGATTGAGTGCGGGCTGCAAACCAAAGCATCACAGGTTCAATTCCCAGCCAGGGCACATGCCTGGGTTGCAGGCCACAGCCCCTAGCAACTGCACATTAATGTTTCTCTCTCTCTCTTTCTCCCTCCCTTCCCTCTCTAAAAAATAAAAATAAGTAAAATCTTAAAAAATATAAAAATAAAAAATAAAAAAAACTTAGGAGCCTCGCCGTGAAAATTAAAGTCCAGGGAGGAGTGGGGCCGCCTCCCCGAGCTCTGCCTGTTTCCTGAGACAGAGAGGGGCCGGGGGGTGATGCAGTGAATCCGGCGGCACGACAACAGCGGCATCCCTGTCCCACTCTGCGGTTCGCACAGCTCTGGCAAAGCCTCTGCACAGCCGTCAGCCCGCGTGAGCCCCACAGTCTGGGAGCGGGTCCCGGTGACGTGGTCCTCTCCTGACTGCAGATGACAGAACTGAGACTCGGAGGAGGGACTTGTCCGGCTCACAGAGCCAGCTGGTGCGCTTCGGGGCCAGAGTTCAGCCTCCTCCCCCGACGGCAGAGCCTGTCCTGCAGCCCCCTTGAAATGCTTAGCTACTTCCACACTCCGTAGAGCCTCCTTGACGAAAGGTGTGTGTAGCTGAGTCGCCCTGGGCTCCGAGCCCTGGGGTATGGAGGAGGCGGTGGGACCACACCGCAGACCAGGGCCCAGGCGGGAGGACTGGGGCCACATTCCTGGGATTCCCGTGGCTGGTCACCTAAGAGTGATGCAGCCCCTGGAGGCGGCCTGGCCTCATCGGCCGCATCTGTCCCTCTGACCCACTCCAGGACTCTCTCCCGCCACACTCCCGCTCTCTCAGGAGCCGGAACCACATTTCCGTTAGCACGCACAGATGCCGCCGTGGTTCGCATTTTGACCTTCTCCGTGTCTCCTTTCCCTGTTGTCCAGCTCTCCGCTCTTCCTTTCAGCGGAACCCTGCAGGCGCTGTCCTTCCGCCCTGTCCTTCCGCCCTGTCCTGCCCGGAGCCCTCTCCAGCGGGTCGCTCGTCCCCACCGCCTCACCAGATCTCCTGGGCAGTGACCTGCATCCCGCTAACACATGCTCAGCTCGCCCGGCTCTTACTGGCATTCGCTGCTTCTTCTCTCTGGGACCCTTCTTCACGTGGCCCCGTCACCACATGGCTGCCCCTCCTCCCCCGCCGCCTTTTCCAGGTCGCTCTGCCCGCCCTGACTTCTCCATGTCCCAGGGCCGCAGGGTGGGCTTGGGCTCCCTTCTCCCCTCCCCTCCCCTCCCCTCTCTTCCCCCTCCTCTCTTCCCCTCCCCTCCTCTCTCTTCCCCCCCTCTTCCCCTCCCCTCCCCTCCCCCCTCTTCCCCTCCCCTCCCCTCCCCTCCCTTCCCTTCCCCTCCCCTCTCCCCTCCTCTCCTCTCCGGTCTGCTCTCACTCCTCAGGTGTCCTCATGTACCCCCAGGGCTTTAAGCCCCATTTTTACCTGGTGGCCCCCAAATTCACATCTCCAGCCAGACGTCTCTGAACTGCAGGCTCATCTGTCTGACTTCCTATCCAGTATCTCCCCTTGTGTTTCTCACACACACGCATCCAACCTAACGTGCCGTGGTCCTGATTTCCACCCCAGACGTGCTCACCGCCAGCTCGGGGACCCTCCCACCGCACCCACCGTGCCAGCCTGGATCCCTCTGGTTCTCACAGCGGCACCCCGTGGTCCGGGGCTGGCTCCCCCTTCAACGTGGTGGGTCCGCCTCGGGTGTTTCCCGTAAAATAAAACACACAGCTTTCATTTTCACCAATAACTTTATTGACTTGGACAGTCTGAGTGTGTCGGCCATCTCCCACATGGTATAACGGTGATTGTTCTCAGTTCATGTCTCAATTTGATCGCTATCGACGTCAACTGGTCTCCCCGACCGTGGGGCACCGTCCCGCGAGGAATCTGCAGCTCCAAACCTCGCAAACCGCTTCTGACACGTCCGGTCAGTCCCGGCACCTTCCCCACGCACTGCACACATCTGGTTTTATTTCCACATTTCAGTTGTGTTTTTACCTTTCTTGAAAGGTAAATGAAGCATAACATGCTGGAAATGTTGCATGTTTTCTTCTATCTTCAATATTATTAAATGGCTACACAAAAAAATCACCAATTTTGGTAAGTTTTTAAAATGCATGCTGATAGGACAGCTGTCACAGCACAATCTAACAAATTTGTTTCAAACGAAGGTAAAGACAGCTAATCCCTACCAGAGCTGTTCTACAGAAAAAAAACCGCACTTTTTTTGGCCAACCCAATATCTGTTTCCCATGGTGCGCATGCCCAAGGGCCCTACTTCTGGGCTCCCTGTTGGTCATCTTAACTCTGCCCTTATTCTCGCGGTCTGTGCCCCACACGGAAGCCTGAGAAACACTTCGAAGCGTAAATTAAAGCAAGTCACTCCTCTGTTCAAAATCCTTCAACGACTTCTCAACATACTTAGAATTATTAATACATTGAAGTGCCTCGCGGTGGCCTCGGAAGGAATACTTGACATTTAAATGTACTTAAATAAATTTAAAATAGAGTCCCTTCTATTTTCCAAGCTAACCAAAGTATATGTATGTATCTGTAGAATGAAACTGGTTATAAAATGGTGTCAGCTGTCACAGAGAGCATTCATCAAGCCAGGCTCAGAATTTCTGAGTCATTTGTTGGTTTGCAGAAGTTACTAGTGTGATCCTTTGTTTGCTATGTTCTCACCAGTTCAATAACGCGCTTTCGGAGCTACGGGTTGACAGAAGGAAATGCAACAAACTGTTCCAGTAACTACCCCATCAAATTAGTGGCCACTTGTAGACTCAAAACAGAGAATTTCTCTTGGTAACAATAGTGTTTTGAGTAATGAATCTTCTCTTAGCTTGAATTAAGAGCAGTAATATGCAAACATTCTCTGCTGCTTACAGTATCATCTGAGGTGCTCACATAGCCCACTCCTTTCCGGCTCAGTCACACAAGTCCTCTGTGAAGGGCCATATGTAAGGAGGTCTCGCCCAGTCCCTCCAGAGGTCACGGCAGGGCAGCCACAACTGCGCCTCCTCGGCCAGGTTCCTCGGTGTTGACCCGGCTCGGCCTCAGCCGCTGCGTCAGCTTCCAGTGCCCTCCCTGGGTGCGAGTTCTCTCGTCTGCAAAAACCAAAAACGGGGCCATGATGACTGCGATATTCAAATGAGTTAACACGTTTAAGGGAAGCCTGGCTCGCTCTCACTTTACTAAGGAGACCGGTGTTGTCAGCATCCTTGCCTGGAGGCTCGGGAGGGTTTGAACCCATGGGGGCCCTAACTGGAAGTGCAGTTCAGTGAGAACCGTGCGAAGAGCCTCAGGCCCTTCCTCCCACGGGTCTCTCTCTGCTCCCAGCTGAGGCCCAGCTCCTGGGCATGGCAGCAAGGTGGGGACTGGGGGTCTCCGGGGTCTGGACAGGGGGTCTGGACAGGGGGTCGTCAGTGACCTTGACAAGAGTGGCTGCAGGGCTGGGAATGAAAGCCACACAGCACAGGTTCAACAGAGACCGTGGAGGTTCTTTGTGTCTTATCGTTGACTATGTGTATTGCGAATATCTTCTTCCAGTTTTTGTTTACTTTCACAATGTGTTTTTTTAAATCCTCACCCGAGGACATGCTGGCTGATTTTAGAGAGAGGGGAGGAAGGGAGAGAAAGAGGGAGAAAGATCGATCAGTTGCCACCTGCACATACCCTAACAGGGGAATGAACCCACAACTCAGGCACGTGCCCCGACCAGGAATTGAACCCTCAACCCTTCGGCTTACAGGATGACGCCCCAGCCAACTGAGCCACACAGGACAGGGCAACAACGTGTTTCGATGAACTGAAGTTCTTCATTTTAATGGTGTTCCATGGAACAAGCTTACATTCCACAGACAGCGCTTCCCTATGACCTGTTAATCCTATCCTGAGTCATAAAGATATTTACCTATTTTTTTCCCTAGAAGCTTACCTTCACATGTAAGTTTTGTGTATGGTGTGAGGTTCGGATTGATAATTTTTTTCCCATATGAATGTACGATTCGTATGATTCAGAATCATTTCTTGTAAAACAATTCTTTCCCCCACTGAATTTTTGTTGAAACTTTGTTGTAAATCAGGTTAACTTACATGTATTTATAAGTCAGTTTCTGGACTTTCTATTCAGTTCCATTGATTTTCTGGTCTGTCTTTGTACCGCACTGTCTTGGTTTGTCTGACTTCTTGTTGCTTTAACATTTAACTGGCTTTGCCTTCTTAGAATAAACCCAAATCGGTTTTGATGTACTATCCTGTTTATATATTGCTGAATGCAACAGAGGAGTTGCACTCAGTTTGCTGATATTTTGTTTGGAACTTTTGCATCTGTTTTTGGGAGAAAACGGACTTTGGTAGAATTTATCAATTTTATGCCATTAGAGACTGGGGTTTTCTTTGTGAGATGGTTTTTACTGACAGCGTTGATTCCTTAAATAGAGACAGGATTGTTTCGAGGTTCTATTTCTTCCTACACACCTTTTGATAACTTCTGTTTTTCCAGGAATTTATCTATCTCTTCAAAATTTTCAAATTTCTTGGCCTCGCGTTATTGGCAAAATCGTGTGGTGGTTAGTGCTGTGTCTGTCGCTTCAGAAATGCTGGGGCAGGACCAAAGTTCTGGGGTCTTTGCTCCCTTCAGTCCTCTTGTTTTGGGGCCTGGAGGGCTAAACAAATCTCCTTCTGATTCCCAGTCTTCCTTTAGATATGTTAACACCTTCCATCAGGTTTTGGTGCTAAACCCTGGCCCAGAGCCTTTCAGTCCCTTTCCAGGTTTATCATCTCTGTTCGAATTTTACTTCCGTTTTTTCTTCTTCTAGGGGCTGCCTCACATCCCCTGCATGCAGCGGAAGTGCTTTGCAGAAACACTCCCACGCTCGCTCTGCCTGGCGGCAGGAGACCGAGTCCGCTCGCTGAGCCCTTCTGCCTCTGATCACTTGAGTGGACGAGGGTCAGCCGCACCGCTCTGTCGGGCCCCAGATGGCCCCTGGGCAGAGCTTCGGGAAACGCGTGTGAAAGCGTCTCTGCTGGAACGCCCTTCTGAGTCTCACGGGCTAAGAAACATGTGTCTCCCAAGGAGTCGGCCTTGGCCCATTGAACGCTCAATTTTCTGTTAAGGAATGGCTGGAGAAATCTGACTCAATTCTGTGTAATCACATGTCCAAAGTCTCAAATCAAGAGATGTCACTTATTTACTTTAAAATGCTTTGCAGATACATAAAACTCCTACAAAGTCACTCATTCATTCAACAATTAGTTCTTGATCACACCCCAGGCGCTAAGCACTGTTCTATAGCAACAAACAAAAAGACAAAAATCCCTTATATTCTTGGGGCTCTTTTAGTTCAACACACGAACTCCTAGTTAGCCGGACGTTCAGTGCTGCCCCTTCTAATGTTTCAACAGTTCACATCAGGGCCGGTGTAGGAAACAAAAGGCTTATGGTCGGCGTTCCTAGGACGACGATCCTTGGTGCTTTGAAGGTGGGCAAGGCTTGCTGGAAAGAGTCTGCTGTCCCACAGAGCCTAGTGAAGACACTGGTGATGCGAGTGGTGCAGTACCCGGCGCCAGGACCGAATGCTCAGGCCGACTGCTCCTCGGGACCGGGGCCTCTCAAAGGCAGGGCTCTGTCCTGTTTATCCCTCACTTCCCACTGGCGGGCACACTGCCTGGCGTACGGTGGGTGTTTAATGGCTTTGTGAAATTAAGGGGTTGATAAGTGAATAAGGAATGAATGGATACAGAGCCCCTCCCTTGGTGATCTTATCTAATCCTCCTTAAATACCATCCTGACGGAGATAACTCCAGCCCAGAATCCAACTCCCACAGCCAATGGCTTTCTCATCCTACCTGGCAGTCCTCTAATATCCATCAGGCAATATGTGCAAAATCAGATTTTTGATTCCTCCTTTCCCCCACTCCCCAACTGCTCCACCCCCAAGCTGCCCCTGCTCAGCCAGTGGCCGCCTCGCCCTTCCAGTGGTCCAGGGTAAAAACCTTGAAGTCATCCTTGACTCCTTTCTTTCTCTTACAGCCCATTTCTTGTCCTTGAAAATATCCTTATGGTTTTACCTTCAAAATCTGTATTTCCAGATTCTGTCTACTTATCACTGCCTGCACGACTTTCACTGGATTCAAGCTACCATTCTAACGGGCTTGTGTTATTATGAGGGTCTCCTGACTTGTGTCCCAGCTTCTGCCTTTGCCCCGGCAGTCTCTTCTCCCCACCACAGCCAGACTCATCTGTTAAACGTACGTCAGATCACGTAACTCTTCCAGTGGCTCCCCGGTTTCTCCAGGTCAAAGTCCATGAAACACACGGTGCCCAACCACGTTTTCAGCTCTCCCTCCGGCTCACTGTCCCCGCCATTCCCTGATCTCGCTGCTCTCTGCATGAGGCTCAGGACTCAGGGCCCTAGTTCCTACTGATCCCGCTGCCTGGAATGATGTCCCCCACATGACTCTGGCTTTCTTGCCTCCAAGGTCACCTTCTTCCTGAGACCTCTCTTGACCCCTGCATTAGAAACGGAGATCACCCTATAGCTCCCCTTCTCCTCTCCTGCTTTTCTGCTTAGCACTTATCACACCATATGTTTCCTTATTTATTTTTTATCTCTCCCCACCAGGATATAACCTCCGTGACAAGTAAACAAAAAGGGACTTTTGTTTACTTTGTTCACTGCTGAATCCTCAGGACCTACAACAGTCCCGCTTAAGGAATACATCAGGGAAGGCGCCTGCCCAGTGAAGGAACAAGAAATGCTACATTTGTGGGCACTTTCGTGAGGCTGTTAGAAGGGGCTCCCAAGTAATAGCTAACTCTTACAGAGGACACTGAGGACCAAGGAAGGAGAAACGCCGTGGTGAGAATCGCAGGTCTAACCCCGCAATCTGCATTCCTTCCCTGGAACCCCGGGCCCCCGTGTGCTCTTAAAAGCCGGTACCGGGTGGAGAGCTCCCCGCAGCCTGAATCCCGGAGCGGGTCTGGGAATTAACGGCAGTCACAACAGAGCGTGATTGGATCAGCTCCGAGTTGGGCACCGCCCAGCTCCTTACTGGTGTCTGGTTACCTTGACTGGGAAAGGGATGCTGTCCGGGCGGGGGACGCAGGGTTTGCGAACTTCGGCCCCGGAGCGAACGGAGGCACCCCGGCGGCCGCACGCGCCCGGAATCCAAAGTCAGGGTCTCGGGTTCCGCCCGGAAGGCTGCTCCCGCCGCTCCCGGAAGCTGCCCTCGCTGCCCGGGTAACGGGCGCCGGCGGCATCCACGGCGGCAGCGTCGTCATGGACTTAGAGGAAGCGGTGAGCGGGTGTTTTTGGGGAAACAGATGGGAGTTTCTGGTCGGATGAGGTTGTAGGTGAAGGGAGGTTGGGGTGATAGCCCCGCTGGGTGTGCTTCAGGAGGAGGGTGGGGTTGTGGGTTTGGGGGGGGGGTGCACCCACGTGGCTCATCCTCTCTGGACGGGAGCACCCCCCCAGTTCCCTTGGATGCCGGGGTGGGCGAAGGAGGGCTGGGCTTGGAGCGAGACTGTCCCCAAGTGACCCCTGCCGGTCTCCCTGGGAGTCCCAACTGGGGTCGGAGACACTCCAAGTAATGGTAGTTACCCACACGGCGTTGATGAAAACCGGGCCCACTTGCCAAAATAAATTTGGCGTTCATTGTTGACAGACCACATAAAATGCCGCGCTCTTTGATGGGATTAAAGTGTTCTGTAATTAGATCAACGGTCAGGTCCAACACCAGAGTCGGGCACCAGTGACCGAGCGAGTCTAGGTGTGTATGGAAAGCACTGGGGAACGAGGAGCCTTACGAGATGCCCAGCCCAGCGGACGTTGATGGAGTGATAAACGGGGGACGTCTGTGAGCGCCAGCTTAATGACATCGGCCGTCGTCACTCACCATTAGCCCGTACCTGCCCTGAGCGGGAACCCTGTGTTGCTCACCATCGAATCCTCATCCCCTAGCCAAATGCCGGCACATAGATAGTTGATACTCTTTATTTTGCTGAATGAATACGTCAGAACTTGAAACAACGCTAGTAAAAATCTGGCTTCTTTGTGATGAGTACATGTTTTTAGTGTCCGGGAAGAAATTTCCCATGGCATGCTATTTTTATTTTTTTAAGTCTCCTCTGTGCTTAACTCTTGTCATCTCTTTTCACCACAGCCTTTTCAAGGGGTTTTATTTACTCATTTAAAAAAAATATTTTATTTATTTATTTTTAGAGAGAGGGGAAGGAAAGGAGAGAGAGAGAGAAAAACATCAGTGTGGGGTTGCCTCTCATGTACCCCCCAGTGGGGACCTGGCCTGCAACCCAGGCATGTGCCCTGACTGGGAATCGCAGCAGTGACCGTTTGATTCACAGGCCCATGCTCAGTCCACTGAGCTACACCAGCCAGGGCTACTCATCTTTTTTTTCCATTTCACCCCTACCACCGTGGCTTCGTTGTTTGCCCTCACACATTGCAGATTTTAGAAACTTTTGTTTAATAGGTTAATCCCCTTTCAAACTGCTCAAGAAACTCAACTGCTGCTCTCCCCACTTACAGATAATCTCATATATTTTCTGTTTTCTGTGATTTTTAACACCTTTGTGGGGTGGAACTGCAGGTAACCGTCTAGTCGGACTGCAGGGTCAGTGTAGGCACAGTGTACTAACTGCGGCTTCCCCCTCTCCCGCAGAGAGAGTTCCGAGAGCGCTGCTCTCAGTGTGCTGCCGTCTCCTGGGGCCTCACCGACGAGGGCAGGTACTACTGTACTTCTTGCCACAATGTTACAGAAGTAAGTAACAGCTCTCATCCATGAACTCGCTTATGTCTTAAACGTTGCGCTTTCCGCCGGATACGTGGTGAAGACTTGATGTATTTTTATCAGTCTTGCAGTGCCCACATTTCAAGAATGTAAGTGGTCTTCAAGGGCTTAAGAAGTGAAGGAGTTTGTAAATTAAATTTAGGATGAGCTCTTGAAATCATGTTGGGCCAAATATACAAATGATTTCCTGATTCAGACTGTATAGTCTAAGAGGAAGTAATTAAAATTATACTTAGAAGATGATGCATTTAATTTCATTAGTTAATACTTAAAGGGTTTTTAATGTGTTGTGGTAGCTTAGTGGTTTGGAGGATGAAATGTTAGAAAGATTGAGGGCTGTTTGGAGGTTTGGGAATACGCTGTATTATTATTTTACCTTTGCACAATAGCTTGCAAATTGCCGAATGTTTCCTGGTCGCTATTTGGTTTCCTCCTCATAACAAGCTCTGAAGTAAGCCATTATGCCGATCTATAGATGGGGCGAGCAGGGCCACCAGGTGAGAGTTCGCTGAAGACACAGGAGCATGAAGTGTGGGGCCAGGACTTGAACCTGAGTTTTCCGACCCCAGTGTTCATTGGACCCCAGCACACCTGCCTCTTACACTGGAGATTGTCAGAGTGTCCCGTGTGGCCTTGACGAGGGAGGCTCCCTCCGCACTGGGAGTGCTGTGTCCTGCTCCGGTTACGCACGGGCAGGGCAGCGTGACCAAAGGAATCAAGGGCGGACGGCCTGCGACCGGACGGTCGGAAAGTGCCAGACTCTTCTCCCAGGGGAAGGAGCTGCTGGAAGCCCGTGGAGCCGGGACGGAGCAGACACCACCTCCACCACACCGGCGTGAGGAAGGCCCGTCGGGGCGGATGAGGGTAGCTGTAGACTTGGGCTTCTGGCCACGGTAGAGTGTGAGGAACCACACTTACCCTCCTACCCTGAGCAACGGGAAACCTGGGGAAAATATATGAAACTAAAAAAAAAAAATTCCTTTGGAAAAAGTGGTTGGTGCAGCTTGCAGCTCAGTCACACGAGAGCTTCCCTGGAGACAGTCCCTGTTCTTCCGGCCGCAGCGAGGTCCTGGTGTCCCCTCCCCCTTAGCCACACGGACCGGACCGTCCGGGAGGTCAGTGCTCCTCTGATGAAGGGGTCAGGGCCGTGGAGAGGTTCACGGTCTCGATTGCGGTGGTGGTTTCGGACACCCCGAGTGGTACACTTCGTGAGCATGCGTCCTTTGCTCCTCTCGGCAGTTCACTCGCCGCCGCGTCTGCACCTGCAGCGCAGGCGTGAGCGCAGTGCAGAGGGGCCGGGTGTCTACCTGGGTGTCTTGGTATGACCTCCCTGCCGTCCCGCCCCTTGCACTGCCCCCCGTCTGGCTCGGAATGGGGTCCTCGAGCCCTAGACACTGTGCCCGCTGGGAAAGGCCTTCTGAACGGGTAACGGCGTGGGAAGGTCCTCACGGTGCCTTCCGTTCGAAAAGACGTTTTCAGGTCTCAAAGCTGGCCAATTTGTGTAACAGATATTCTTGCAAGTATTTTGTGAGTATTTAATAAGGGTGTCGGCTGGAGCTGTGAGTTTAATAGATTCTTATAAGGGCAAATTCATTGCATAAAATTTGGAAGCTATGCAGGTGAAAGCTAAAAATCACCCATAATCTCAGCCCACAGCCTTTCGGTGCTTCCATTTAGTCTCTCTCTCTGTGTAATGTATGGGAGGGGAGAGGGGATGTCGGTGAGTGTCACTGAATCTTCTGTCTTAATAAGTTAAGGATGTTCCTTCTGAATGTAGGCATTTTAATTGACCGTATAATAGTCCACAATGTAACCAACCAGCCATTCAGTAATTTAATTATACCTCCAGTTTGAACATTTAGTTATTTTTACACCTTTAAGTTTTGTCTAGTCCAGACTTTAAGCCTTTTCCCCGCCTACTTGTTAGAAGTTTGACCTGTCTCGGCGGGGTAGCTGCCGTGCTGTGTGTTCCGACTCGTCTTACGCTCTTACTGTGGCCAGCGCAGCCCATCGGAACTGCTGGGGGTGTGGCGTCTGCGACTGGGGGGAGCGCATCTCAAAAATCCGTCGTTGGAGACAGTTCTTCGTCCTCATTGAACACCGAAGGTCCCTTCATTCTGCATCTCTGAACTAGAGAGACACGTATATGCCCCCTGTCGGTGGGGCCCGAGCCAGCTCAGCACGCACACCCGGAGTGTCGTTTCCGCTCGGCACCCACGTGGCCCAGCCTGGGGGTGTCCGTCTGCTGTGACTGTGTGGTGTTCGGATCCTGCAAACCCAAGGTCAAGAAAATGTTAAAAAGAAGCGCAGTCCTTGCAAGGTCAAGTGGATTAAGCATTCCGCAAAAACAGCTGGTAAAGGGCTTACAGCGGGTAGTTCACTTGAATTTGAAAAACACAGAGAAACGAGCCCCAAGAAACAGAAACACCAAGCTAAATTTATAATAAACGAGTGGAGGGAAAGTACAGAGAGTTCAGGACAGGGAAGTCGATGAGCAAGACATTTGCCTCACCTGGGCCCCGTGTGTGTGTGCGTGCGTGCATGTGTGCGTGCGTGCGTGCGAGGGAAGGCAGCTGGAAGACGAGGTGGTGCAGAAACCGCAGCAGGGTGTGGACGGGGAGCTGTTTCTGCCGGTCTCTCCGCCTGTAACCATTTCTGTGAGCGGGCGCCTTGGTAGAATCTCCGTTAGCCCTGGGAGGTTTCGCTCCCTCTCTCCCTCCCTCCTTTCCCCTCTCTCTAAAGATAAATAAATAAAATCTTTTTAAAATCTCCTGTAGACATTTAGAACATCTAGATTATTGACTTATTTTTTACATAAGGTGATTCAAATGGAAAGGTTTTGAGAAACACATCTCTTCTACACTCCTCTTTGCAAAACGTCAGATATTGTGGGTGCTAGATCACATCTCACAGTGTTCAAGCTTCCGTGAGTCGTGGAAGTTCTGTAAGTACAGGAGTGAACTGTGGACGTGCGGGGGTCGTGCCACTGGGACGATGGCACCAGGCAGCGTTTGTGTAATAACTAGTGACAAATTCCCACGGCTACTGGTACGTCCAGTACGGTTTCCTTTGCAGCAAAAACATTCCCTTGTTCACGTCACGGAAAGGGGGCTACAGCAAGGAATCAGCAATCTGAATGAAACTGGCACCAAGTACTAATGTCTTCCGATGTGATTTCAGTACTTTTTGTTTTGGCGTGTTAACATCTTAGAAGAATGGAAGGCCTCATATTTGAAGTCCAGTTCCCTTGGGCTGTTTGAGCTGGTCCACTGTTCGGACGGGCGGTGGTGCGCGCTGTGAGGGTCGGAGCTGAGCGCTGTGCCCCTGAAGCGGCCCTCTGCCCTGGAGTCGCCCCCAGGAGGTGACTCTAGCTTGGCGTTCCTGGTAGAACAAGCCTCATTTGTCCAGCTCAGCCACAGTTTAGACGAGGAATCTAATGCCTTTAAAATTTTTGTGTGGTTTTCTTTTAAAAAGCTAATTGCTTTTGGGAAGTCAGATTTATGGGTAACTGTCTATATATTATTTGCACATAAAATCATTTCTACAATTAAGTGCCAACATATTTAAAGGTACTAAACAAAGGTATGAAGTAGCAACACTTGGAAGAAAATAACTTCGTCTGCAAGTACTACTAAAATACAAAATATATTTAAAGGAAATATATAATTAATTGTTTTTCCCATGTTTTTACATGTATGAGTATGTTAAGAGTATAAAGAAGCTCAATTTTTAGGACAGACTTTAGAATACATTACAAATTATTAGGGTTATATAATTATATAGTAATGGGTAAATTTTTACTTCACTATTAGTAAAAAAGTGGGCAGATCCCCAAACCAGGTGTTAGAAAACCTAAATTCCAGTGTGATTTTGCCTTCGTGTTGTTACTTGTAAAATATGACTCCTCTGTAAATAATAATATTGGTTTAACAATAAGGGGAAATATATATGCAATCACAGACATTTGTAAAAATTTTTTAAAGATTTTATTCATTTATTTTTAAAGAGAGGGGAGCCCTGGCTGGCGTAGCTCAGTGGATTGAGCTCGGGCTGCCAACCAAAGTGTCGCAGGTTCGATTCCCAGCCAGGGTACATGCCTGGGTTGCAGGCCACGGCCCCCAGCAACCACACATTGATGTTTCTCTCTATCTTCCTCCCTTCCCTCTCTAAAAATAAATAAATAAAATCTTAAAAAAAAATAGAGGGGAAGGGAGTGAGAAAGAGAGGGAAAGAAACATCAGTGTGTGGTTGCCTCTCACGTGGCCCCCCCTGGGGACCTGGCCTGCAACCCAGGCATGTGCCCTGACTGGGAATGGAACTGGTGACCCTTTGGTTTGTAACCTGTGCTCAATCCACTGAGCTAAAGCCAGGGCTGTAAAACTTTTTAAAAAGACTTAATATGCGTGCACGTGTGTGTGTGTGTGTGTGTGTGTGTGTGTGAGAGAGAGAGAGAGAGCAAGAGAGAGAGAGGGAGGGAGGGAGGGGCAGGGGAGCCGTGCCAGAATCTTAGGCACCAGCTCCTGAGAGCACTTGGAATTGAGGACTTTGGGATGAATTTTATTCACCATTTAGTCTTTCCGAAATCCTATAAATGTGATTAGAAGTAAAAAGTAGTACTTTTATAATTTCATAGATAAAAGTGTTTTGGCGAATTATTCAAACACAGAAAAGCAGGATGTCTAGTTTAGGCATTGCTGATTACAATAAATACAGAAATTATTTTAATCCAAAATGCGTTTTGAGTACAGAAAAAGGTGACTATATTTGACTTCAGGTTTTATCTGAAACAGCTAACAAGTGATTTGAAATAGAAGTTTATTCATTTGACAGACATTTATTCGGTGTTTACTATATTCCAGGCACTGAGTAATTTGAATGAGAACGTAACAAAAATTTGTATCACTTCGCCCAGATGTCACCGGTATTGGTTCTGGGGCTCACAGTTTGGTTCATTAGACTTCCCGAACAGGCTCGGAAGTACCTTCAGGGAGGCGGGAGGCTGCCTTTCTGATGCCGCGTCTCCGTCTCCCGCAGAGGTCGAAGGAGGTTCTAAGCACGGAGGCCATCCCCAACACCAAAATACAAGCCATCAACCGGGGACTGAGGCGGAAGAAAAGGCTGGGTAAGCTCCTCCCCACGTGCGGTGCTCAGCACCCTTCGGCCGTGACCCTCACCGTCCTGCTTGAGGGCGTGGAGGGAAATAGTGAACAGATTCCGTAGAAGTTGCCAGCGTTTTCACCAGGTAACGTGACGTGGAACTACAGTGGGTAATTATCGACGGTAACGTTGGAAGCGAATGTCTTAAAGCACCTCCTTTTTTATTGTGCACATTTTCAAGTTGCTTTTCCGGTGGAACAGCTATTATGCAAAAAAAAAAAATGACAACAAAAGGAGCATATCTCTTTTCACCTGTTGGCATGCATTTTTCTGTTCTATATTTATCGTCTATTATGAGTGTGATTTTCTGTCCTTTAAAGGAAAATGCTTATTTTCTGAAATGATTCAGCCGGAATTGTCAGGTCAGGCAAGTTAAACCTGATCCTCCAGTTGGAGAAATCCATTTCTCACCGTGAGTTTTGAACACACCCTTTCAAAACAGGGGCGAGTATTTGCCCTTAAAATAGCCTCAGTGTGGGTGTGCCCCATAGGTGATCTGTCCCTGGGTTGCAGTGAGTCCGGACAACTAGCCGCTGCTGAGGAGGGTCCGAGGTCAGGCCTCTCGGATGCTCTTGGGGAGGACCAGATCCCCAAGTCCGAAACCGGGCGAATGGTATCGGCTGCTTCTGCACGAGGAGCTTTAAAGACACACACACCCGAAATAGGTGTGCACAGATGCTACGAACTGTCTGTGTGACACACGCCGACACTGCAGTGCATGACAGGGAGAGTGCCTGGGTGCTAACTTCTGCTCCTGTTTGACCTAATAAGAGTGGCTATCTCATTAGACTGAAACTCGGTTCATTTTAATTAAATCTCATCAGGGTAAGGCCTGGTTAATGTGGACTTGACCCACGTAAATAATTAAAATGTATAGTTTAAATGTAAATTACTGCGGGAACTTCAGGTGCTTCCGATGAGACGTCAGGTGTCTTACATTTGACCTCTTTGCCCTTAGTGTCTTCATCGGTAAAGCGAGCGTGGTAATCCCATTTGTTACGTGAAATAGGAACCCAGACTCCGCAGTTCACATAGGAAGAACAGTGCAGGAGGGAGAGAGCTCGTGCGCGCGCGTGCACACACACACACACACACACACACAGAAAAGCTGAACCCCCTCAGCTTCACCTTGAGGGGCGCATCACAATCACAGGCTTCCTCTGCCTTCCTCCGTGTGTCCCGGACAGCCTAAGGCCCGCTCCAGGAACTGGTTGGTCAGCCGGCGCGGGGAGACCTGTGACGCAGGACAGCGGGGGCAGTGGCGGCCCTGGGACGGACGTTCTGCCGGGAAGGGGCGACTCGGAGTCCCAGAGGCCGACTCCAGAGGCCGTGTGTGAAAGGGCCGGGACCTTTCCAGACAGCACAGCCCTGGTCCTGCAGGGAGCGGGGAGACAGAGGGTCTTCGCGGACTTGAACGCGCTCTCGAACAGGCAGCTCTGTTGAAATGTGTGGTTCTGTCTGTCGCGGTGGCGGGTTTCTTCCCAGCCTCTCGGGTGGTTCCGATGATTGAGTAAAACAGCCTGTCTGCATGCCTAGCACGCAGCTGACCCCCGGGCAGAGCGCCGTAGTACGTTTCTCTCCTTTTTGGTCTCTCCCTGTGACCTAGAACCGTGTTCAGAAACACGGAGGGAGCACTTTGTTCTGGAATGTTCTTGCTGCCTATCCCGGTACGCCTGGACCACTGCGTCCTGGCTTTCGTTCGTCCGTTCTCCAAACGCCCGGAGTCCCCAGCCCGAGGAGTCGGGGCAGAGCCGTGGCAGCAGCGGTGGCTGGGCACCCAGTGCTCTTCCAGCCAGAACTACCGGTGGGGGGGGCGGGGTTCTTAAAACATTTCCTTTTTCAGTCGTGGTGACTGTTGATTTTCCCGCCTTTTACATGAACAATTCAGAAAAATAATAGGCAATTTAAAACATGAAACTGAGTAGTTACAAAAATAATGTTTGTCTTTAGCATTTGTGTACAAACTTGCCACGTTGGAAGCAGGAGAATGTAGGAAAGGAAACCCCGCTCAGGGACGGGGAAAACCGCGGCTGCCGTGCGGGAGGCGCGCCCGCTGCTGCGCAGTGGGGCGCAGACAGCTGAAGCGTGTTCTTCCCCCTTCAGAGAGAGGCTGGGACTGGTACGTGTGCGAGGGCTTCCAGCACATCCTGTGCCAGCAAGCGGAGGCCTTACAGACCCTTGGAGTAAGCCCGGAACTCAAGGTAAGCCCCCTGGTGTCTAGGTGTCAGCCTTACGCACTCCTGTCGTTCGGAGAACAGCAGGCTGGAGACGGAGCAGAAGAGTCATCAGCAACAACACTGGGGCTGCTGGAGGAGTCGCATCTCTGGTACTTTTGCTTTAACCCTTTTTATTAGACCAGCTGGTCCCACGGTGCATTCTACAGGGTGTAAATAAGCAACCTATCTAAGAGAAAATAAAAAGGGTTGTAGTCGTCAGATGTGCGGGAGACATTGGCTTAAACAAAGTAAAACGAGCCACGTGGCAGCCTTGCTGGGCCCTCTCCGTGCTGATGCGCCCGCTTAGTGTCCATGGGGCCCGTGTGCGGAGTCACGGCTGGGGAAGGGAGCCCTGTGGTGGCCTCCGTCTCTGGGGACTTGAGTTCCAGAACGTGCTTTGGGGAGCGATACATTAGAACAGTGGCTCTCACACTTGCACTTGCGTCAGAATCCCACGCAGGGCTGTGAAAGCACAGAGCGCTGGGCCCCGTTCCAGAGTCTGGTTCCGTGGGTCTGGAGTGGGGCCCAAGAATTTGCACGTCCAGCAAGTTCCCAGGCGACCCTCCTCCTGCGGGTCCAGGGCCACGCTTGGATTTCGTGGCCCCTCAGGAGTATCCCTGCTGCCATGGGAATTTCCTGCTCCCTCATCTGGTCGAAGTCCCTTCAGGAGCCCTGGAAAGGCCAGCTGTTGAGCCACAGTGGTCACTGCGCCCTTGCTTCGGGCCGGTCACTGGAACCCGGTACCAAGAGACCCGGCCTGGCTGGGGAGAGGGCTGTAGGCACTGGGCATGCGAACCACAGAGCCTGCACCGGTGTGTTTAGAAGTGACATAAGGGCACTTGAGACGGGACAGAGGTCAGCGTGGACTGACGTCACCGAGGGAGGGTGTGCGGAGGAGCCTCTGCTGTTCACGCGGAAGCAGCGTGACCTCCAGACCCGGGCGGGCACGGCTGAAGCCGGTGCTGGGCCTCGTGGCATGCGCGGTGTGGTGTGGCGTGGTGTGGTGTGGCGTGGTGTGGTGCAGTATAGTATAGAGGGACTGAAACCCCGGATGCGTGCCCGCCAGAGGCGGACGCGCGACAGAGCATTCGGAGCCTCCCGCTGAGGAAGGAGGGAGGGTACAAGTGCTCGCAGATGGGGGGCGCCGCGTGCAGCACGAGGAGTCCTGCGGCTGAGATGTGCTGGCATGCCTGTCCTCGCAGCCTGAACGACCACTCTCGCCCTTCCCCCGCAGAGTCAAGTTCTGCATAACCTTTGGAGGCGCTACCTTCAGAAGAGCAAGCTGGCGTACTGCAGAAACCCAGTCTACTCCGGCAGGAGGGCAGCCGCGGTGAGTGGCGTGGGGAGGAGGCGGGGCAGTACCGCGGACAGTGCTGAAAAGCGCACGAGCGGGTGACGGGTGACGGGACGGAGAAGCGAAGGCCGAGAGGGAGACCGAGAACCGGCCGGGGCCCTCTCGCGCTCCGAGGGCTGGGGCAGGAGAGGGCCTGACGGGGAGTCCGAGGAGCAGCTGGTGGAGCAGAGGAAGCCAGGAGAGTGGGGGGCCTGCTGGACCCTAAGGAGCTGAGCGTTTCAAGAAGAGGGGGGTGATCAGCTTGGGAAATGCTGCCGCCGGGTCGGGAAGAAGAGCTCGAAAGCCAGTGGATGGGACAGAGGGGCCCAGACGTGCTGGAACGGGCTCTGAGGCAGACCGGGAGGGGCCGTGGGGACAGCAGCCCTGCACGCCCCCCGCCCTCCAGGGCGCTCTGCTGCAGGGAAGGGCAGGCACGCCCTGAGCCACTGCGTGGGGGGCTCGCACCAGCAGACGACCGCGCGTTGATGTCGCCTTTTTGCTGGTGAAAGCGAGCACAGCCCAACAGTCTCGCTGCACAAAGAAATCGCACCCGAGCTGGGGTCCAGGGCAGTTTCCGGGGGGTGGGCGTGGCCGAGTTTGTGCCGGGAAGGGAACGGTACAGGAGGGAGCACAAGTGTGATGATCTGGGGGGCAGGGGCGCTGGCACAAAGGAGGAAACCGGCTTCAGACGAGAGCATGCGTGACTCTCCCCGGAGAGGCACCAGGGCGCGTGCGGTCGGGCGCCGGCACCAGCCTGTGGGTGCTCCCTCCTGGCCGCGTCACTCTCGGCACCCTTCCCAGCGAGCCCGTTCTGCCGCCGTGCGGGGCACCTTGCGTCTCAGGTGCCGGCCTGCAGAGGGGGATGTGCTCAGCAGTGGGCTCTGTGCCCTGGCTTATTCTCTCGGGAGTTTTGTTTGCTTTTTACGGAGAGAAGCACTGACCTGCTGCCTCTTGCACACCTGCCCCTTGCATACCCGCAACTGGGGGCCTGGCCTGCGGCCCGGGCGTGGGCCCTGAACGGGAGTCGGAGTGGGGACCCTCTTGCTGGCCGATGCTCGGCTCACTGCGCCACGCCAGCCAGGCCTCTGGCAGGTCTCCTCACCCTGAGCCTTGTCTCTGCTCACTAAGGTCCAGGTTCCTGGCCTGCACGGCCGAGAGCACAGCTGCTTTTCTGTGATCGAGTCCTCCCAGGGGCATGTCGGCTAGTGAGGCCTCCAGGTCAGCCACCTGGCAACCTTTCTTAGGGACTCTTCAGTCAGCATTTCAACAATACGGGGCGGGATCCCCCAAAACTGGCGTTATCTTCTGGAGGGCGGGCCCCTTGTGGTACAGGCTTCCCCGCTAGGTGGGTGTTCTAGGAACCCAGCTGTATCTGTGTACCAGCTGGCGTTGTTGTGAGAGGCTGTGTTCGGCCCCAGTGGATTTTTTTTGAAGACTCTTTTTTTGAAGACTCTTTTAAAGGACTCTTGCCTATTTCATGATGGGTGATTTATGAGCGCCGCACCGAGTGTTCAGGAGTTTTTGACCAAAAACAGCATGACTCCCATGCCCCACCCTCCCTAGCCACGCAATCTCGCCCACGAGTGACTTTTTTTTATTTCCCTGGGGTGAAAAAAGTCCTCAAGGGGGACTTTTGCCAACTTGGAAGAGATGAAACAAAAAACAGCAGAAACACTAACAGGCATCAAAATTGATTAACTCAAAAACCGTTTTGAGCAGTGGAAACTGTATCTCCATAGGTGTCTTGTATCAGATGGAGAGTACACGTTTAAACATGTGAGGATAGATACACTACTTTTTATAAACAGATTCCGTTTTTTTTTTGGTGCCCCAAATACATGTGTGAAAAATTAAACGAAGGTACGAGATCCCCTGTCAACGTAAGTGTGGAAACACTGATGCCCCAGGAGTGCGAGGGCATGAGCGTCTCTGAAGAAGCGCCGCTGGAAGGGTGGGGTGACAGCGCCCCCGAAGAGCTGGCAGGGAGGACGGTCCAGGCAGGGGACGTGGGTTAGCAGAGAGCCGCGGCAGAGGGGCCCGGGCGGACGCCGTGGGGGGAGGGGGGGCAGGTGGTGTGCATGGATTTGTCGCTGACAACACGGGTGTCAGTCATGTGCGTGGGCTCGTCGCTGACATGGGTGTCTCAGTGCTAGAGCAGGGAGACGAGGGTCCTTCCAGGGGGAAGGGATCCCTCCAGGGGGAAGGAAGCCTAGGTTTCCGGGCCCACCCTGGTCGCAGCCCTTCCCCACGCAGCGCCGGGGAGCCGCCCCGGAGCCCGCGGCCCAGTGCAAGTCCCTGGGTCTGGGGGGCCCGGCAGACAGGGCAGTGGTCTGGGGTGGTTTCTGGGTGCGGCTGGGGACGGTCAGGAGCGCTCAGGTCCGTGGAAGCAGGTTGCAGTTTCTTCAAGTGCCTCCGCAGTAACTCGTTCCTGTCGTTTTGCAAACAGGTCTCAGACGATAACCGGAGTCACTCGGGCTGGGACAGTGAGCCCGAGCTGCTGAGCGACTTCAGCGGCCCCTCTGGCCCCTCCGTGTTCGACAGTGGGGCGGAGTCTCAGCCTGACGCCCACACCCGGGGGCCTCTCCCCTCCAGCAAGGCCTCGCAGTCAGGTAACAGGAGACTCTAACGGCCCAGAGCTTGGAGCCTGGTGGTGCCTCTTAGAAATAACGGGGTCTGATCTCTCCACATCCCAAGGAAAGGAAGTCAGCCTAGCAAAGGGCCGTGGCTGAGGAAGCGGTAAATTAAGCGAGGTCTTAGTGTGGTTTCAAGAAGGCACGTTGCCCCCACATGGATGTTTTGTGTGGTGTTTGAAGGCAGCGGAACCATAAGTGGGTCCAGAAAGGAGGAGGCCGGCGCAGTGAAGACCACACACACCGTGTGTGTGGGCCCAGCCTCTCCCGGGAGACGCAGCAGAGAAAGGACAGAGCGTGGCCGCACAGTGGGGCGGGCGGGAGTCAGAGATGGTCCGCCCGGCGTCCAGGCACAGGCCAGAGCGGCCGAGGAAAACCGTGTACCCGTGTGTACGTGCATCTTGCTCTCTGACTTATTCCATACTTTGAAATAGGTGAGGAGCCTATTGAAGGTTACAGGTGTAGTAGATCTTCCTGAAGCATTTATTCATGATGCCAGTTGTTCCCAGACTACAATTAAAAAACGAAAACCGTGGTGGCAAACAGACCTCAAAGGCCAGACGCGTCCTTTACGGTGGACACCAGCCTTGGACATGGGCTGACGGAGTTCTCGGGGAGATGGCTGCCCAGCCCTCTGGGGTTAGAGGTGGTTGAACTCTGGGTTAAGTGTGGTTATGTAGAATGTTCAGCCAAACATTTCTGGTATGGGCTCCTTTGCAAGCCCCTGGCCCTTCAAAGATTAAAAATTCCTTTTAACAGCCCTGGCTGGTGTGGCTCAGTGGATTGAGCACCAGCCTGAGAATCAAAGGGTTGCCAGTTCGATTCCCAGTCAGGACACGTGCCTGGGTTGTGGGTCAGGTCCCTGGTTGGTGGGGTGGGGGCACGTGAGAGGCAACCACACATTGGTGTTTCTCCCCCTCCCTCCCTTCCTTTCCCTGTCTAAAAATAAATAAATAAAATCTAAAAAAACTCCTTTTAACAGCATATCTGCATTCCTTGCTAGACTACACTGTGACACAGAGTCAGATAAGTTACTCTTCCGTCCAGAGAAGTCAGGGAGTTAGACTCGCAGAGCGGCCGGGCAGCCGAGAGTCCCGGGAGCGTCCTGTCCGCACTCGCTGGCGACCCCGGGCCCACGCACCCCCAGGAACTCGACTCTCAAACCGTCAGGCCCGTTCAAGTGTCGTGACCGGTCGGCGGGCCGCCCAGGCTTAGTTTCTGTGCTTGTGTTGCAGCCAGTTGTGAGCCTTTTCACTTTCGTGTTTACGTGAAAAGTAACGAGGACTGTGGCCCCTGATACAGAGCTGTCAGGTCCCGAGGGTCACGGGGAAAGCGCCGTCAGCGGTCCTCGCACCGCCCGCAGCCGGCCGCCGCCGCTGCTGCAGGAGGTCGCTCCGGGAAGCTCCCGCCTCCTCAGCAGGGAGAAGGGAAAAGGGTTTCATTACTGTTTTTGCTAAAGAGTGAACTATGTCTGCATTCTTTACGTTTTTAAATGAGAATTCTGCATGCACGTAATTCATATATGGTATTTGTAAGGCATGTTCTATTGTATATCTATAAGGCTTGTTATAAAAAGTTTCAAAAGTTAGAAAGGTTATATATAGTCCGCTGTTCCCCTACACGGCCTGTCCCCCGAGGCACGCACTGTCACCGTCCTGCGGCCGCCGTCCCTCTGTGTCTTGCCTGACTTCCGGGTCGGGCCGTGAGCTTGCAGATTCCCTCCGTGGACGACGGAGTCTTAGCCCCCCCACACGCGCCCCTCCCACCGGTCACCCGCACCCTGTTTTGCATTTTTCGTCCTCTGCCTTCCCCGTATAATTATAATTTTTCCTGGGCCCGTATTTAGTGCCTAAACTACCGTAAGGACTGGGCCACACACCTTACCATGTCACACTTTCTGTGCACCCTTTGGTTTTTCTAGCGCAGGTGGTCGTTTCCTTAGTTTTCTGTCTGTCTGTTACCGCGCTGTAGTTAATCACTGACGGATCTCCACACTTGCCCTCGGCTCCGAAACACGCTCTCGGTGCCTTGGGCTCTCTGTGGTCCCCTCTCCTGGAAGAAGGCGTCCGGCCCTCTGGCCTGCTCCGCCTGGGCCGGGCCCTCCAGACCCGCGACCCGGCCGTCTGCCAGCCGCCTGTGACGTCTCTCTCCGCCATTCTGTCCTCTCTCCTGCTAAGTTCCTGTGTTCCTGGTCCCGTGTCATCTTCTTTTCTGGCTTACTTCCTCGTTTAATGGAGCATCTTCTTGTTTCGCTGAGGATGTGGATGACGTCTTCCCTCCTGATGTGATTGTTCTGACCTGTGTGTTTAACACGGTCGTGCGCCACGTCACGACCCTTGGGTGAAGGGGCGCTGTGTGTGCCCCGGCGGGTCACAAGCCGGAGGTCCGCGGTGTTGACCGGAGGCGCCGGGCCGAGCTCTGATTCGGGGTCCGCGTCCAGCTCCGCGTGGTGTCGGCGCAGGAGGCCCAGCCCGCTCTTCGCTGGCCCTGCACCCACAGAGGCCGCGCCCAGGGCTTGGGGATGCGAGGACAATGCACACTCTGTCCTCAGACTCCCCTCCCTGCCCTGCCCGTCCCCGCATTTCTCTGGCTCTCACTGCCTTTTACTATTTCTTGTCTCAAGCCTGAATCTCTCTGGGCCTCTTGATCTTTGCTCTCCCTGTCTCTCCCCTCTCCCTCCTCCCTCCTCCCGAGGTCCCCCCCCTCCGTGGGTGCCCCTGGCACATCTAGGTGTGCAGCGGGCCGACTAGCATCTGGGCTTGTGTAAGGGCACTCTGCGATGGTCACACGAGGGTGCATTTCTCAGAACGCGTCCTTCTTAAGTGATGTGTGGCTGTATTAGAAACTGTCTTCGGATGTTCAGTGAGCCCAAGGCGGCTAGCCCCGGTTAAGAACGGGGACTGAACCGTTGATTTAAAACGTTGGGCCTGCAGGGAGTCTTGTCAGCTCCGCCCTGCAGGAGAGGGCCCTAGCTGGGCTCTCTCCTTAGTGAGCCTCCTGCATTATCGTCTTGGGATCTTTTCCCCCTGGGGCTGATCAGATTCTCCAGAGAACTCTCTTCAGTCTTCTGGCTGGAGGGCGAATCCCCAGGTTCTGGGAAGTGGGCGGGAAGAAGCGGGGGGCGGGGGGGGCTCTTACCCACTCCTGCTTTCAGTGAGGTCCGCCTGCTCTCCACAGTGCGAGTGCCCAGGATCCCCATTCCAGGGACCCTAATTAAAAAAAAAAAAAATATATATATATATATAGATAGATAGATTGATTTTAGAGAGAGGGCAAGGAGGGGGAGAAAGAGAGAGAAACACATCATTTGTTGTTCCGCTTAATTATTCATTCACTGGTTGACTTTTTAAAAAAAGATTTTATTTTCTTTTTAGCCAGGGGTGGCGGGGGAAGGAAGGGAGAGAAACATCAATGTGTGGTTGGCTCTTGTGGGTCCCCTACCACGGGACCCAGCAGGACACCAGCTGGCAACCCAGGCACGTGCCCTGACCGGGAATCAAATGCGTGACCCTCTCTGGTTCACAGGCTGGCGCTCAGTCCACTGAGCCACACCAGCCAGGGCCATTGGCTGACTATTGTCTGGGCCCTGACCGGGGATCTGCCAGCAACCTTAGCCCGCCGGATGATGCTGACCAACTGAGCTGTTTCGCCGGGGCCAGAGACCCTCCTTTTATACTCCCACAGTGGGAAGAAGACTTCCAGTTTCCGGCCTAGGTTGGGGAGGGGCTGTTATTTTGCTTCTGGAGTGGGGGCAGGAGCGCGAGTGTCTGCCCGCTTCTCAGCCGGACTTTCCCAGGCAGCCCCTGCGGTTCCCTCCCCCCTCCGGTTCCCGGGGGGCCGCGTCTGGCTGGCTCAGGGCAGACTCGGGTGGCCCTCGCCTTTCCCCGCTCCAGGCTCTGCGCCCAGCTTCCTCGGGGCCGCTAAGGCCCGACTCACCTGTCCGACTCACCTGTCCGTGTGCTTCCCGGCTTTCAGGCTTTCATCGCCCTCGTCTCCTTTTCTGTCATGTGTCCTCGGATCCGTGTCTTTTTAAATGGCCCTTGTAATTGTCGTCGTGAAACAGAGCAGAGGCCACCGTGTGCTCTCAGCCTGCCGTCCTAGCCGGGGTTCCTCGTGGTGTGTGTGTGTACTTCAACATAATATTTGCGTATTTTTATGGAAATCTATGTTTTTATATATATATATGTATTTTTAAACAGTCATCCTCAAACTTTAGCATCCGTCAGATCACTGGTGGGGCTTGTTAGAGCACAGGTGCACCCTGGCTAGTTTGGCTCAGTGGACAGAGCACTGGCCTGCAGACCCAAGGGTCTCTGGTTCGATTCCCAGTCAGGGCACAGGCCTGGGTTGCGGGACAGGTCCCTAGTTGGGGACACGCGAGAGGCAACCACACACTGGTGTTTCTCTCCCTCTCTTTTTCCCTCTCTTCCCCTCTCTCTAAACATAAGTAAGTAAATAAATGTCTTTTAAAAGAACACAGACGGGTCCACTCTCTTCAGTCCCCCGGGGGCCTGACACAGCCAGCTGGCCCGGGGACTGTGCTTTGAGGACCGCTGAGTTATAGAGAGCCTCCCGGAAACTGTTGCACGGTACTCCGTGGTACGGAGATACGAAGTTCCTAACCCCGTCACTCAGGTGGTTTCATTTTTTTCAGATTGTAAGCAGGGCTGCCACCGCATGCCTTGACCCTGAATCTTGGCGTGTTTTAAAAATCGCTTCACTGGGATTGACCATCTTAGAAGTACAACTGCGAGACCTGTTTGTCACCAGACATTTATTGGGCCCCCGCTCTGCGCTCAGGCCTGCTCTGGGCACTGGGGACACGCTGGCGGGCACGGCTGTCTGCCTTCTGGGTGGGGAGGGTGCGGTGGGCACGGCTGGACGGCAAGGGCACCCGGGAACAAGGACGGCTTGGTGGCCGACAGATGCTGTCCGGAACGGGCCGTGGGGTTCGGAAACGGGGCTTGAGGAATCACTGCACTTGGAGGGTTTTTGTCCGAGAAAGCCGGGAGTCCCTCAGGGTCATCCCAGTCCCGCGTTCTAGTGTGCACCCGCGCCGCGGCCTTGAACCCCAGCTGCGCCCGGGCGACCCCGCACTCCCGCCCCCAGCCCCGCCTTCCCTCCGCCCCGCGGACTTTTGCACTCAGCTGCCTGCTCAGCGTTTCCGCTGGTGACTTTAACAGCGTGTTCCAGCACTCCACGCGCACCTCCGCCACCTTGACCTCCTCGCCCAGCCCGTCTCGGCGGCGAGCGGCATCTCCACTCCCGCATTCCTCCGGCCCACACGCGGGCTCGCACTGGCCCTCGCTGTCTCAGAGTTAGAGACTCCCTCGGTGGGCCCGGGCCGCCCCGCTCCCCTCGGTGCTGCTGCCCCGTGCTCGCTCTGCCCCCCGGGACACCACCCTCCCCCCAGCAGCCCCGGGACTTTGTGAAACCAGAAGTGGGAGCGGGTGCCCTCTGTTGAAAGGTCTCCGGAACCTTCTCCTCACACTGTCCCAGAATAAAACCCACAGCCCATGTCGGGGCCTGCGGAGCCTCACACACTGCTTTCTGCCTCTCCCCTTCTCTGTCGACCACTTTCCTGCCCCCCCAGTGTGCTCACCCCGCTGGCTTCCTTGCTGCCCCTTCAAGGTCGCGCCTGCTGGTGCACGTGGGCTTCTTCCTGGGACCCTCGGGGCTCCGCTCCGCACCCTCCGGGCTGCTCGGGCCCCGCCCTCCCGCGCGGCCTCTCCGAGCGGTCGTGCATGCAGGATGGCCTGCCTCTTCCCTTCCCGTCGCCTGTCTGCCGTCGCTGGAACGGGAGTCCGAGGGAGGCGAGACACTCTCCAGTGTCACCTCCCCAGGCCCGGAGCAGGGGCACGGTGCATGAGACGCGGGAGGGTTGGAGGAGGGGGGACGGGCCTGGGAGGCGGCACCACCCAGCTCGCGTCTGCAGAGCCTCTGAGACGGGTCGGGCGACAGGCGGCCGGTACAGGGTCGTACACCGGGCTCTGCTTCGTGCCTGTGTGTCCTTGTGCTACTTGAACAAGTGTTCGTGTTCACTATAAAAAACATCAGCAGGTCCAATTCCTTTTCAGTGTCCGAGTCCATTGAATTCCCACAAAGAACCAACGACCTTTCTGGCCAGCCTCCTCTTAAACCATCACGGCTTTCTGGCCGAATTGCTCTTGATAAGGTGTTCTCAAGAACGACCCGGTTCTAACACGTTTAATGTGCCTCTTTGGACTCTCTTGTTTTTCTTCCTTGGTTGTCCGCACGAGTCACTTGCACTGTTAACTGCCTCCATCTCTCCCCAAGATATGTCATCCGTCTGCTCTGGGTCCCTCGACGGCGTCGAGTACTCGCTGCGGAAGGCCAAGGGGACCGTGAAGATGACCGTGCCGGGGACGCTCGCCCTCTGCTCCCTGTCGTTGCTGTGGCAGAGGGAGGCCGTCACCCTCTCGGATCTCCTGAGGTGAGCTGCGTGCGCCGCTTGGGGTGCGTCTGCCGGTTTTCCGTGCGAACCGGGGAGCTTGGGGGTGTTTTGAGTTCTGCGGAGAGGCCTCGGCCGAGGAAGGGGCTGGGCAGACGGGGTGGCCTGCGTTCTAACTCTGAAACGCAGTCCTCCCCGGGCAAGCAGCTCACCCTCCTGGGTTCCTTGTTCGTACGGCGGGAATAATAGTGCTTGCCTCACGCGGGCTGTTGGGAAGTCAGTCGTCTCCTGTGAGTAAAACACTTCGAAGAGGAAAAGGGGCATCTGAGCAGGGACATCCGTGTGTGTTGTTCCTGAGGGAGAGGGGGCACCGATGACCTTGACACCGGCAGCGGCTGCTCACGCAGTCCCACGGAAGCGTGCCCTGCTGTGGCTCGGAGCTGAACCTCAGGCCGTCTCTGCTCGTGGGAGAAAACTGGAGACAGACGTACTGGAGGGATCTGTCGTGTAGATGCTTGGCATTTTTCAAGATAATCTACAGGGTTCTGTAGTTAATGAGAAAGTTACGGTTCTGTGAGGAAGAGCCATGAGAATTTCTCATTAAATACCTGTGCTAAAATCATGAATGTGCTCATTTTCCCCTTGTTTCATGTATTCTAATGAATAGCATTCGGGTTTAATCAGCGTGTAGAGTGATTGTGAGAACCCTGTAGCTTTAGAGCCGCACTCCTGGGTTCGAATCCTGTCTCTGTTGTCAGTACGCTGTGCAACCTTCAGTGAGCTTTGATTTAAATTTAATTTCTCTCTGCCTCTGTTTCCTCACTGGTAACTCGGGGATGACACTACCCACCCCTTGGGGTCGAGACTGCCTCCAGTGCCTGTCACCCCGTGAGAAGCACTTCAGGCAGAAGCCGGTGCCGGTCGTTGTTGTTCTTGTCGTCCTCCTCCCGCCTCCGCCACCGCCTCCACCGTCACCGTCATCACTGGCGCCGGGCCCTTTGATTAAATAAAATGGCTCCAGTAAACGGTGATAGTGTCTTTGAATGTGGCCACATCAACCAAATAACAAGGCTTTTCTCAGATGTGATGCACCCTGGGCAGCTGGTCCGTGATTCAGTGAGTTTTACCGTCAAGTTAAAACCCTCGTCGTGCTCCGCAGGCCCCCCCGGGTGACCTCACCCTCTCCCAAGGCTGTAATTACCGTCTCCACCGCGGGGATGGCTCCCCGTCAGCCTCTCCGGCCCAGACTTGTCCTGGGGGCCCGGCCCACGCAGTGCGGCGTGCCGCGCAGCTGCCCGCTGGACGCCCGTGCGTCCCCGTGCGTCTCCAGGTCGGCAGGACTGGAAGGGGCTCATCATCCTTCTGGCCTCAGCCCCGCCCCTTCTCCCGTGTGCTCTTCCTAAGTGCCACGCCTGCAGTTGCATCCCGTTTAGAAACCTCAGAGTCACTCTGGACTCCTTCCGCTCTCTGCGCGTGCAGCTGGTACTGTCCATCGTGCCTGCAAAGTCGCTCTTGAAACCCCTTTCCTCTCTGCCCGCCCCTCCGTCTCTGCCTTCACTCTCTCTGCCTTCACCCGGGGCATTGCACACCGCCCAGGCGGGCCCGGTGCCTGCGGCCTCGTGCCGCTCTGCCCGCTTCTCTCCGTGACCAGAGGGAGAGAGGGAGGGAGCCGGCAGGCACGGCAGGCTCGTCCTGCCCTCAGTGCTGGACAGAGGGCCTGCCGGGGCGGTCTGCACGAGGACGGGAGAGCTCCCCTGGAGATCTCCCAAGGTGGGGGGCACATTGACCTGCAGTTCTTCCAGGGAGGACGTTATGAGTGGTGGAAGGTTGGGGGCAGGGTCCTGCACCTCTGCCTCTTTCTCCCTCCCCCTCCCCCTCCCTCCCCTCCTTCCCTCCCTCCCTCCCTCCCTCCCTCCCTCCCTCCAGGGGGAATTCTGCAGGGCCTTCAAGGAGACTGGATCTCGTGAGCGGGAGGGCTTCCTTTTCGCTGTGTGCGCACGCGGAGTTGGGGACCCAGCTGAACTGCTGCGGGGACAGCGGAGCATGTCCCCTTACTTTGTCTGCGTCTCTCAGAGGGGACGCGCTCGGTCCGGCTGGCTCTGGAAGCGCCGTCGGTCGCCCGACCAGCGGTGCTGCCTGGGAACCTGCGGGAAGGGCAAGTCCTCGGCCCACTCGAACCTTTGGGCTCAGACACGCTGGCGGTGGCCGGGAACCTCTGTTTGAAAAGCTCTCCCAGAGGTTCCTGTAGGTGCTAAATCGAGAACCACTGCCAAACTCGGAAAGCTGTGTGAAGAACTTTGGTTGACAGTAATCCGTGATGAGCCTGGCCACAGGTGTCTCGCCCGGACCCTGCCTGCCACTCCCCTCTTCGGCCCTTTAGCAGCGAGTGTAGCGCAGCGGGAGGAACTCTAGCCCTCAAAACTGCCGCCTGCCGTGTGTGGCAGGAACAATAAGCACAGCCAGCACGTCGTCGTTCCACACCTTTTTACTGAACTTGGACGACGCAGGAGTCGCTCTTGAGATGCAGTTGTGAACCACGTAGACCGAGTCCCTGCTCTCACGCAGCTCACAACCAGAGGAGGAAACCCGTCGAACAGCCAGCGAGGCGCTGTGCGGGAGGGCGGGGTCGGAGGTTGTGCGCCGGAGAGCAGCTGGGGGGCTGCTTTGCACCGTAGTGAGGGAAGGCCTCGTTGAGAGGGGGTTCGAGCTGCGCCTTGAATGGGAGCAGAGCCAGCAGGCGCGTGTCGGGGGTGCTGGCCTTCCAGGGAGGGGAGGCCCCAGTGCCGGCCCTGAAGCACGAGCAGGTGCTGCGTGGTCAAGGAGTGGGGGGCGCCTGTGGCAGAGGAAGCGAACGTGAGGGAGTCGGGGGGTGAGGGCGGGGGGCCCACAGTAGAGGCCAGGCCTAGGTCTTTGCAAGCCGGTAGCCAGGGTAGCGTTCGGATTTTTTTAATTGAGATCAAATTCGCACACAACAAAATTCACCCTTTGAAATGCAACTCCGTGGTTTCCAGTGTATTCACAAGGCTGTGCGACCATCTGCGTCTGTCTCCACGACACAGCCGTCACTCCTGACAGACACCCGTGCTCCTCAGGGTGGGCCCGCAAGCCCTGGGAGGGCGGGCAGGAGAGACCGCTGTGGTCCTTCAGGCCGCTGCAGGGGAGTACCGTCCAGGGAGGCGGGCGGAGGCAGGGAGACCCAGCGGTCTCTGCTGTCCCCAACGGTGGCTGGCACCGGGGGTGGGCTGGGGGGACGGGCAGAAACGGAATGAGGTGAGTGGGTTCAGGACATGTTTGCAAGGAGACGTGACTTAATGCTAATGCAGCGCTTCTTGCAGTATCTGCAAGGAGAACCAGCTGGTTGAATTTCCGGTCTGTCGCAGGTTGAGACTGAAAAATAGAGTGAAATGAGAAAGAGAGACAGTGTTTCCAGAGGACAGGGCCAGGGCGGCGGTCTGCTGGGCGGGCGGGGCTTTTTGTCCGGCGGGGGGGCGGCGCTCCTCTGCCTGCTCCGCGGTTGACGCGACGTCCCACCCGAGGGTCCTGGCCACGGGAAACGGGTCGTGCGGGGCTGGGACCGGGAACGTACCCACACTTTCTGAAGGGAAAGTCAGGAAGGAAAAAGCACTTTGGAAAGAGATGAAGAGCAGCAGCGGTGAAAACTGTTAAAGCCCCAGGTGCCCGAGTCCTGCTGTGCAGACGTCTCTCCCGGGCAGGTTCCTCGAGCCTTCCTCTGCCCCCGAGGCGCCAGGTGCCCACGGGCGCCGCGTACACCCGTGCCGCCCCGCCCCACCCCCGCGCTGCCCCGCCCCCACACTGCCCGTCTGGCCTTTGTGGGTCCTGGTGGGAGCGCAGGTGTCTGAGTGTGCATGTATGTATGGGTACATACACACACACACACAATCAAATGGGCCCAATGACTAAATAAATTATGGATATGTTAATATCACGGAATACTAGATAGTTATCAAAGTGAGAAGCATGCAGTACACCCTGTATAAAGTAATATAAAGTAATATTGAACCCCAAAATTAGTTCCAAAATAATACGAACACTGACTACTATGCATGATTCGTGTATACAAATTAAACGGGTGAAAACCTAGGTGGGTTTCCCCACAGGACTGTTCTAATGGGCCCTGTGTCATCACTAAGCTTCATAAGACATCATTTTTACATAAAATACTGTAATTCTCAACTTTCAGTAGACTAAAAACGTAAAGAAATCTCATTTTAAATTTAAAAGTAAAGTTGGGTCAATATTAGTCTTTAACTTCTGACTCTACCAGAAACAGCCTTTGAGGCAAAATATTTTGTGTGCTAGTTTATCCTCTATCTTACTTTCCTAAACAGTTTCCTCACGTAAAATGTCTGGAGTGCGTGTGTGCGTGTGTGTGCGTGTATATGCATCTGTGCCCCACCCCCATGAATCCCTCCCTCCCTCCTTTGTCTGCCTTCCCTTCTCGCCGTGTGTCTGGGCCTCACACGCGTGCAGCCCCCTCGTCTGCCCCGTGGGCCGTCGCCCCTCTCCCCTCGCCGGAGCACGGAACAAGGTCGGGAACAAGGACGCCCTCCTGCCCTGCTCCCTGCCCTGTCTTCACAGCCTCGGGCCGTGCTGCTAGGAGCGTGGTGTCCGTAGATTCCTGTTGAATTAGTGGGTTAATTGCAAATAAATGCGTATGTGTATTTGTTTTTATGTGTGTGCTATTTCCTTCCAATTCGATAATTTACTTAAGAGCATTGTATCAGCTACTGTGTGGCAGACACTGGGCTGGGGTGACGAGCAAACGGGCAAGGTCCCCTCCCTTCCTTGTTCTTCTGGTGACAGTCACCTGCCGCGCAGGTGCGGGGGCAGAAGGGGAGAGCAGGGGTCGGAGGAGGTCTCCCTGGAGAGGCGATGATCTAGGAGATGGGTCAGAGCTCCCCGTGTGAGGAGGCGGGGCGGGGCGGGTGGGGGACAGGGAGGGCCGGCCGGCGGGCGGACCCCACGGAGGCCTGCCGGCGGAGACGCCCCCGTCCTGGGAGCAGGCCGTCTGACTGAGGGCGTGGGACACGAGGGCCTGCAGGTGCAGTACTGACGAGACGGTCTCTCCGCACACCGGTACAGAGAATCGTAGGATCGTCCTTAAAATGTGACCAGCCCTGGCCGGTGTGGCTCAGTGGGTTGGGTGCCGGCCTGCGAACCAGAAGGTCGCCCGCTCGGCTCTCGGTCGGGGCACAGGCCTAGGCTGCGGGCCAGGTCCCCGGGGGGGCGGGGTGTGAGAGGCAACCACACATGGACGTTTCTCTCCTTCTCTTTCTCCCTCCCTCCCCCCTCTCTAAAAATGAAGAAATAAAAATCTTTAAGAAAAACGTGACCACAACACACTCAGTGGATGCTCACCTTCTCCTCGAAGCACGGCATGTTCAGCTCTCTCCAGGGCCTCTCCGAATGAGTCCGTAGCCCCGTTACAGCCCCTTCCTTCCCCCCCACAGGCTGGTCGAGGAGGGCCACGTCCCCTACGTGAACGCCTTCCAGCGCTTCCCGGAGGAGATGAAGCTGTACGGGCGCGACAAGGGCATCTTCGCGGTGGAGGTCAGTCCGCCCCTTCGTTTCGGGGTCCCGGGAGGCCCTGGGTGGGGGTGCACAGGCCAGGCCTGACCTCGGACTCCGTGTCCGAGTTCTCAGAGCGTCACCTGGCGTCTGTCCTGGCCAAACGTGGAACGCTGGTCACAACTTCGTGAACAACAGAGTTCCTGTTTTTTGATCTCCTTACGTGGCTTCTTGTAATCCTCGAGGTTGGCCTCAAAATGTAGCTCAGTGTCGGGTGCGTGCATTGCAAAAGGTGCATTGTTGAGACTGAACTTCACAAGTTTTATCTGGAGACTTTACATAATTTCAGACGTTCTAAGAGTATTTGCCGTTGGTGTGTGTACACTGTGCTGCTTTGGCAAAACTAAAGGAAGTCACCACCTGGTTTGGAAGGAGACAAAAAAAATATGAGGGACCATACCCAGCAGCGAGGACGGGGCGAGGGGCAGGGCGGGGAGCAGCTGCGGAGGCAATAAGGGGGCTTCCCAACGAAGTCAAGGGGCGGGCAGCCCTGTGCGGAGATGGCAACCGGGACCGGAAAGCATGGGCGGGGGGCCAGCTTGGGGGCGGTCCAGGGAGTGGGGACAGGGGCACAGGCCGGGGGGCTGGAGCAGCCTTCCCCAAGGGTGGCCTTCACGGAACGCAGCTTAGTCTGTTGCTCGGCAACCGCTGATTTAAAACCGGAGCCCTGGCTGGTGTGGCTCAGTGGACTGAGTGCCGGCCTGCGGACTGAAGGGTCACCAGCTTGATTCCCAGTCAGCCCACGTACGTGCCTGGGTGGCAGGCCAGGTCCCCGGGTCCCCAGCTGGGGACACATGAGAGGGAACCGATCGATGTATCCCTCCCACACATCGATGTTTCTCCTCTTCTCTTCCTCCCTTCCCCTCTCTCTGAAAATGAATAAATAAAATCTTAAAAGAGAAAAAAAGGGCCAGAGACACAGGACACGTCCTGTTTTTCCAGGCAGCACTCCAGACCCCAGCGAGCGTGGCAGAGACGCGGTGGGACCGGGGTGGGACCGGGGAGGGACACCCCGCACCTAGGTCCCCAGGAGCCGGCTCGGCCGGGAAAGACAGGCCAGGCCCTCGGTTTCGGAACGGCCTGGGCTCCGGGCCGACCGGCTTCCCGAGTTTTCAGACGGCACCGTCGTGCTCAACGCCACGGAGGTCCGGGTGCCCCGACGCTGCCGGACGCTGCCCCATCGAAGTGACTCTTAAAATAATCGGTCTTCAAGTCTGTGTAATTCACTCATTGGTCATTTTAAACTTAGCTGCTGAACCGTCTCTGGCCGGTCTCCTGAGCCTTGTGGGATTGTGCTGCTGAGAGAGAGAGAGAGGCGTCTGGCCCGGCGGCTCTAGGCCCGCGTCTTTGTGTGTGTGTGTGTGTGTGTGTGTGTGTGTGTGTGTGTGTGTGATGGGAGTGTTTTAAGGAGGAGAGCTGGTGGTGAGCCCAGTTAGGAACGCCAGTCACCTCTGGAGGGAGGTGCCGAGGGAGAGAGCGGGAAGGCATGCCCGGGGGGGGGGGGGCGGTGGTGCCAATGCCGCTCCTGCTCGTAGGTCAGGTTCAGTTCCTGGGCGCCCATGGTGCTGCCGTGCCTCGGAGCTGACAGAAATGCCACCTGCATTCTTTCTGTATTTCTCAGGATTGTAAAGGCGGCCAGGGGACGTGTAAATGGAATTTCTAAAACTGAGGAGTAAAAGTGAATGTGCAGTGCATGGATTTATTTGTGAATGTCTTGCATCCCCAATTACTCTTCGGGAGCAGGGGCCGTATTTAGTGTCTCTATTCTAGGATCCGTAAGACCCGATGCAGTTCTGTGTCCGTGGTAAGGACTCAGTCTGTGTGTACTGTTAAAATTATTTGAAATAGCTAAAAAAAAAAAGACGTGTGAATTTATTTTTAGGAGATCTCAGACTGATCCGTTGGGGAGTTTTTCCACCTAAGCAGGAGACTTCCAGAGTGCTTCTGATGGATTTATTACACAATGTGCCAGGAGGCCAGTGAGTGGTGGCATTCGACCAACAAAGTAAAGAGGCATTCTATTAAAATTCTAGTGGTAAATATGTGAGGGATATATTTTCTGCTTACGAGCAAGAATGTTTAAAAATGCAAATTATGGGTGTGTCAGTATCACTCATGAAAACCAGTGTGGGAGATAATCTCATCAGCTAATTTGTACTCTTTGCCAATATAGTGAATTACTTTGGTCAGAAAACCTTTGTTTGAGGTCACACTGGTGATACTCTTACTTAGGAGAACCATAGCTCTCATTTGCCGAGCGAAACCAGCGACTTAACTCGGATTGTCCGTGACTGAGCTCGGTCCCGGGCCGGCACCGCCCGGCCGCCGGCACGCTCAGCCCGTCCCCCTGGCCTCCGCGCCTGGGAGGAGAGGGGGGCCAGGCCGGGGGCTCATCTGGGGAGAACCGAGTCCCGGCACCGGTACAGCTGCTGCGAGAATGGTCGTGAGACCCTTCTGACACCAGCTAGAGATGACGGGGTTGAGGGGGGCGGTCTGCTCTCCGGGCACCAGCTGTGAACCTCCTTTAGTAAAGACGTGCGGCCTCCGGACAGAGCTGCGCAGCGACCAGCAGACTGTTCGGAGAGCGGGGGCCCCTGAGGGGCTCCGGTCGGCTCTCCCAGCTCCCGTCCTCCCGTCCCGGGGCCGAGACAAGCCACTGTCTCCTGGGCACTGGGCGAGTCTGTGCGGGTCGGCAGTCACGTGTCTGCGTGCCTTCCTGAGGTCCGTCTGCCCGTGCCGCCGGCCGCGTTTCTGCCGTGGTCCCACCCCAGGACCGTCCGAGACTGTGCTGCCCAGAAAGGGACGTGGGTGCCACAGGCTCCCGGCAGACTCGGCTTGGCCACGAAGCAGTCACTTTTGTTACTCCCTGGCAGACTCAACCAGGAAGACAGTTCTGGTGGGCTGGCGTGCACGGTGCGCTGCTCTGCGAATTGCAGCAGGCGTGGAGTTCGGTGTGTCCTCCCCCACCGAGACTGCACTGCAGTGCCGCGTCGTGCCTTCTGGCGTGACTCTCATCCCTCAGTGGTTGCTCCTTGGAGCAGCAAGTCTCGTCTCAAGTGTGGACCGACGGGTGCAAGAGGCCTCAGCTGCCTCTCGGCCGCGCCTGCGCCTCCGAGCCGCAGCACGAGTGGGGCGAGGCGCTGCGCCCTTTCGGCCGAGCAGGAAGCTGGCCCCAGCCGGCGCGGCCGTCAGGTGCATCCCAGCCCGCTGTTGTGTAACAGAAACTCCGGCGTGTCCCTGCCTGCCCGGAGGCCTCGCCTCTCGGAGGGAGACAGACGCTCGGGAACAAATGTCCGCGAAGTTCAGCGAGCGCTTCCCCAGACACTCCGTCCGCAGTGCACGCCGGGGCGGTGTGATGCGGCCCCGTCGCCCTCCAAAAACGTGGGGACCCAACCGCCCCGTGTCCTGTTCACCTTGTAGACACGGCTTCGGCCACCGCTCCCCTGGCCGCGAGTCCCCACTCCCTCCCTCCCTCCCATCCGAGTTTTCTCCAGAAACGGGGAAGGTTTAGTGTCTTCAGGTGACTGTTTGTTTAATTGACAGGCAGCTTTTCTTCATTGTGTGCCTTGCCTCTGCTCACAAAAGTGCATTCAGTCTTCCTCAGTGTGTTGAAACTTTTAAATGGAAACGGCTTTTCGTGAACAAAGGGTGCATTTTCCTCCCTCCTTCCACGTCTCACCTCTCTCCGCGAGGCTTGGCTTCCCCGGCAGCTCTGCCTCCACCGCGATGACAAAAGGTGCGATTGTTCTGGGAGATGGCGCGGCGGCGATAACGCCAGCGGGGCTGGGGCTGGCGTGTGTGGGCTGCGGGGCACTGTGTTTCTCCTGTGTCTGGTTTTGTTTTGTTTTTGTTGCTGCAGAAAGTTGAGCGCAGCTTAAAAAACAAACCAAGGAGAGGGAGAGCGTGCGCTTTCCAGGCCCTCCGACCTTCCTCCCAGGTGGGCTGCTGCTCTCCGTGAGGCTGCTCTGTGAGGGTTTCTGGGGGCCCCTCGGTCCCCGCACCAACAAAGCTGACCGAGCTCCCCTGGAGCAGCGGGAAAGGAACACGGAAGACGGAGGGACTGATGTGGTTTGCTTTCTCTTTCCAGGCAGGCCCCTGCCATCACCCTGCCCCGAGAGCAAAGCTCGGGGGAGGAGACGGGCGCAAATTCCGTTTCAGTGTTTTTCTGAGTTGTGATTCCCAGCTCCAGGCAGGAGAGCCTTTCTTCTCTCTCTCTTTTTTTTTAAACTTAATTTAAAAATAACCTCCTCCTTCATCTGCCTTTGCCTCTCCTGTTTCATTTTTGACTCGAGCTTCTGGAGGATGGTCCAGAGTCAAAGCCTTGTTTCCTTCTAGCAAAAACCTGGCCGTTCATCCGGTGGAATGGACCGAGCACCTGGTCTCGCCCGGGGACACCAGCCCACCCAGGGGTCAAAGGCCCCGCGCCGCCCGAGCCGGCGGCGAGCCCGGGCACACTCGTCTCTGTCCCGGACACGTGTCGTGTGTGCTCTGCCGGTTTCCGCTGCCTCTGTCCTCTCGGCCTTGATCTGCCTTATTTTTGTGTCTTCAACCCGCAGACTGGTTTCTGCGCAGGTCACTGCGGCACAGCCCTCCCCCTCCCACGGGCCTCGCCAGTGTTTCCAAACCCCCTCAAGCAGGAGTCACTCGGCCACCCGTGCCCAGCCTCCGCGGGAGGGGGTAGGGACGCAGGGGGACTGGAGGGCCTTTCCGAGGCCCCCCCCAGCGTGCGCCTGAACGCCGACCCGTGGCATTCTGCTCTGCTCGGCTCTGCTCTGCCCTCGAAGGAGCGAGGAGAGAAGGTGCGACGCTGGGCCGGCCCAGCCCTCTTGGGGTGCTCTGGCACCCCGCCGAGATGACTCACTCCGCCTGGGGCAGCCCCGCGCTTCTGGGAAACCCGGTCCTCGTCGCAGGGGAGGAGAAGCCTCCTTCAGAGCCGCCAGTCACTCGCTCGCTCACTCACTCCCCAGGCACCTCAGGTGACAGTCGGCTCGCTGGGTCGGGTTTCAGCCCACTCCGGGCCTTCAGACTTCGCTCTGGACTTGCCCGACTTACCCTGCAGGCCCCGTGCAGCTCTGGCCTGGCCGCGCTGCCTCTGTCAGAGCAGGGGTGACCTGACGGTTGCCGTCTGCCCGGGGGGGCGAGGCAGGTGTCCTGAGGACACGTGTGTGCCCTCGGCCCCCCTCACCCCCACCCTCCTGCCCGGACCCCCTGCTGCCGGGGGGCGGACCGCTCCTCTCCTCTCCTCCAGCCGTGTGGAAAACGAGGGTGGGAAGCCACAGCGCTTGGCTTTCTTTTCATCTCATTTCATTTCATCTTGCTGTTGCGTGAGAATGTCCTAGAGAGCTGTTTAGACTGCAGGCTCTCAGACCCAGGGCCAGAGGGGGGCCCGGGACGTGTGGGGGGGCCCAGGAACGTGCGTCTGGAGCATGCGTCTCGCAGGTGACTCTGACACAGGCGGTGCCTTCAGCGGCGCGGGCCTGTCTCGTCCCTGCACCGTTCCCCTCTGCCGGGACTGCAGCTGGCTCCGCCGGGCGCTGGGGTGCAGTCGGGCTCACGAGCAGATCACCCAAGTCCGGCCTTCACAGATGCTGCTGTGCCGTACGAACCGCGTGCAGTGCGACGCGGGGCTCTGGAGGGCCTGTCCTCCCTCCTCGTGCGGCAGGGACTTCGCCCGCTCGCCCGCCCGCCCGCCCGCCCGGGGAGAACGTGGTCGAGCACCGGTGAGGCCCTTCCCGCACGCCACTCTGCGCGTGCAGGCGGTTTCTGAACGTCACGGCAAGATAATTCTCACGCAGTGATGAGATGGTTCCTGCCGTGGTCCTGTGGTAGTTATCCGTGCTTCGGAACCCTGTCAGAGTCAGAGCCTGCCAACCCCCTCTCTGGGCTGAGCCCAGGGGACCCAAGCGCCCGCGCTCCCTGGGGGCTTCGCCTCGGACACCAGGTCCCACGCCAGCCGTCTGCGGGGGTCGGCTGCGGTGCCGCGCCGGCTCGGTTGGGGTGGGGGCAGGTGTGCGCGGAGGTTCGTCCACAGCCAAGCAGGGAGGGACACCTGGGCCGGCGCTTCCAGTGACACCGGAGGGAGAGGGCAGCATCGGAGCCCTGTGGTGACGCCCCCGGGGCGGAGCCGGGCAGTGGTGACGCCCTCCCCGCGTCTGCGGCATGGGGCCCACCTCGGGTTTTCTCGGGGGGCCGTCCGGTGGTAATCAGGCCTCCTCTCCGGCCCAAGCGGCGCTGGGCAGGAGGCTTGGCAGGCGCCAACGCTTTCTCCCCGCTCGGTGTGTTCTGTCTTCCGGGAAGGGCGCTGTGTCTTGGTGTTGTGTGTTCAACGGTTACAGTTAGATGTTTGTAGACTTTATATGTCTTGAAGTTTTCATTTTTCCCGTGTTTTTTCCTTTTTGTGATTGGATTCGAGGGGGTGGCATTGGTCCGTAGGGTCCTAGGGTTTCCGGTGCACGTTTCCATGACACGCGGTCTGTAAGTTGCACTGGGTGCCCGCCACCCACAGTCGGATCCTCCCCGCCACCAGAGTCGGCCCCGTTACCCTTCACTCCCCGCCCCTCCCTCTGGTGACCGTCACGCCGTAGCCTGTGTCTGTGAGTTTCGGTTCTGTATCCCACACGTGAGTGAAACCGTCTGGTTCTCAGCTTTTTCTGACTTCGCTTAGCACGCTTCACCCTCCTGAGGGCTGAGTAGGGCTCCACAGCACGCACCACGTGCCGCCCCGTCTCCACCCGCCCCCCCCCCCCCCACGGGCACTGTGCTGTCTCCGCGTCTCGGCCACCGCGATCAGTGCCCCAGTGAACACGGGCGTGCGTGCGTCTGTGCGAATAAGTGTTTTGGGGCTTTTGGGGGATAGACAGAGGGGCTGCTGTGTCACGTGGTGACTCTGTTCCTAACTTTTCAAGGGGCCTCCAGGCTATTTCCCCCGTAGCGTCCGCACCAGTTCACGCGCCCATGAGCAGTGAGCACGGGCTCCGTTCTCTCCACGGCCTCTCCACCCAGCACTTGCCGGCCCCCCCCATCCCTGACAGCCGCTCTGACAGGTGCGAGGCGGGGTCTCGCAGTGGTTCTGACGCTCGTTTCCCGAACAGACAGTGAGGTCCAGCATCCTTTCATGACCCTGTTGGCCTTTGTACGTCTTCCTGGGAGGGGTGTCTGTCTGTTCAGGTCCTCGTCCCGTTTCATTGGGCTGTTTGTTTGTTTGTTTGTTGTGGATTGGTATGAGTTCTTTACCTTTTGGATATTAACCCTTTGTTGGAGCAGTTGTTTGCAAATACCATCTCGCGTTCGATTGGTTGCCTTACGTTGAATTTTTAAAATCTTCAACTTTATTATTCTAATTATGGCATCTCTAATATATTTGGGTTTTTTTCCTTTAGATAATGTTTAGGTTCCTTTTTATAGTTCCTGACAATGGTGGTAAAATGTACATAGCATGAAATCCACATTCACACCGTGTCTGGACGTGCGGTTCGGTGGAACCGGTACGTGTACACTGTGCCGCCGCCACCCGCGGACTGCGCCCTCTCCGCGTGCGGTCCCCGGCCGCGTGCAGCCTGTCGGGGCCGCTTCCTTTCCGGGGCCCAATGACACGCTCGTGTGGACCGACCGCGTTTGCTCATCTGCGCACCCACGGAGACCTGTCACCTCACGGCTGCCAGCAGTGGTGCCCGTCGGTGTCGCACAGATGCACATGGCTGTCGTGCAACAGGAGCTCAGCCCGTTGGCTGCGCCCCGAGATGGGCGAGGGGCCCCCGTGTGGAGCCGTTGGGAGCCATCGGGACTCCGAGCGGGTGGCAGCTCCCTCGTTCCCCAGATTCTCCGTGACTGGCAAGAAGTTACAATTTCACTGCATCGTGGGGAAGGCCAGTAAGAGTTTTATGAGCCAAATAGAGTTTTAGTGGCTTTTTAATTTGGCGTTATTACTACTTAAAACTGCTACGTTGGGGTAATGACGATCGACAGCGGTTTCCCCTTTCGTGCTTTTCTCCACGTTTCCGTTTCATTCAGTGAGTGCACGCTAAAGTCAGAAAGTGTTTGAAAACTAACCTGGGCGGAAAAAACTGCCACCTCGAGTATCTCTTTTCTTCCAGTCGTGGCCTACCTATGAGGACATCTATAGAAAGATGGTCGAAGTTGCCACGTTTTTAGATCTGCCCCGTTTCCCAGACATCACTGAGGACTGCTATCTTCACCCCAACGTCCTGTGTCTGAAGTACCTGATGGAAGCCAACCTCCCCGGTGAGCGAGCGCTGTTTGTCTTGGGGAAGCTTTTCCCGACTCTGATCCCGCTGAGCGAACGTGGAGTCCTCTCAGATCACAGGCGGGTGGGGCCACCCGGCAGGGCCACGGCACAGACACAGACTGGGGGGCCACCCGGCGGGGCCACGGCACGGACACAGGTGGGTGGGGCCACCCGGCAGGGCCACGGCACAGACACAGACTGGGGGGCCACCCGGCAGGGCCACGGCACGGACACAGGCGGGTGGGGCCACCCGGTGGGGCCACGGCACAGACACAGACTGGGGGGCCACCCGGCAGGGCCATGGCACAGACACGGACGGGTGGGGCCACCTGGCGGGGCCACGGCAACCTGAAGCTTGATAGTGCAACTTCTTAAAGCATCTCGGACCGTTGACAGTGGCCAAAGGGCTCTGTTCCCGTGTGAGGGCCGTGCTTGAGAGCGTACGTCTGGTTCTCACACTACGTTTGCTGAATGCAGGTAAAGTAACAGATGTTCGGTGTGTTGTCAACGGCCCAGGTGCGCCCCCAGAGCAGCGCTTCCCCGTTTGCATGAAGCGTGATGGTTACATGATGAGTTCTAATTTTTCAAAATTCCAGAAGCTAATTTATGGCAACATGTTTGTTGTTGGGAACCACGATGCCGTCCCCAGCCCCTGACACGGGTGGAGGTCACGGTCTGGTGGGGTCACTGGACGCGGGAGGCAGCGGAGCAGCGGGAGGAGGGAGCCCCACCCGCCGGCCAGCCCGCCTGCTCCGTGTGCCGGGCGCGGGCCACCCGGAGACCTGCCGGGGGGGGGGGGGGGCCCGCTCTTGAACTTCTTGCCAAACCAGAAGTGTAAGAAGTTCAGGACTTTCATTTTTAAGAGAAAATACAAACATTGTGTGGCTGTACTATTGCTTGAGCAATATAAAAAATGTGATTGAATGTATTTTTTAATAAAAAGGAGACATAGGAGAAAAGCAGTACATAAAACTATACAGTGTAATTTTAACTATAAAATAAATACAGATTTGTAGTAACATACATACTTGTAAACACGAAGCCTGTAATTTAAGGAACAAAAACAATTTAAACCTTTAAAATATATTTGTTAAGCTAAGGAATGGGTGTCTCCTCCAGAGACTCCAGAAGTCGCTCTCTCTCTGATTAAGATTCCAGAATTTGGAAAGTCAGATTTCTACGTTTGACGTATCACATAGAGCAGAATGACTGTTTTTCGGTTTTGCTTTTTAAAATTTACTTCCTTGGTGGTTCCTTCAGGTGTGGAACGCGCCTGTGTTCTCTCGTGTCTCGTGTCCTGTGTTCAAGATCTCGAACTTGTACAGGGAGCGCTGGGTGTGGAGGGCGCGGCAGGGATTCCCGGTGCGCGCCCGGCACGCTGGGGGGCCGCACGAGCAGGAGCCAGGCGAGCGGGCAGCAGTGTCCTCCGGCCCGTGGGTGTCGTCCGGCACGGTGTCCCACCCGACTCTCCCCGAGAGTGACAGGGGGCCTCCAACGCGTGTCACCACAGGCAGAGAGACGTCACTCTCATCTGATATCCAATAAGCGCCTCTTTGGGGACAGTATTATAAAGAGGCGAGGGACAGAAATCGCGCTTCTCACAAACAGTGCAATAGAAAAAATGTAGAAATTCACGTTCTTGACCTTCCTTAGAACACTGAAAAATCAGAAACAGCTTAAAAACCCGGCAGAAAGCCAGTGGTTAAGCAAACAGTGGTATGTCCATCTAGTGAGACAGGGCGCAGCTTTTAAAATCATGTTTGTGAAGAGCTCAGAAAAGCATGGAAAACGTTTGTCGCAACAAAAAGTGAAATAGGCCAAATTACGAAAATGATGTAACAGAAGCGCAGCCACGTAAATGAAAAGACTCATAAAAACAGAAGAAGAAAACCCCCCGATCTATCGAAACGGTATTTCTAAGTCACAGTAGCGCGTTCCTTCCTTCCTTCCTTCCACCTCTGTGACTTACGAACGCCGTGCACTGAGGTCGTGTCACTCGGTGGTGGGGGGACAACGGACACGGCAGCTCTGCACTCGCAGACGTGCTGGCCCTGCACCTTGGATTCCGACTCTGAAACGTGGCCGCGGTTTGCCTACCACCCACGAGATTACGGGGCACCTCTGGGGCGTCGGCGTCCTCGGGTGTGCGGGTCTCGCTGTCTGCGGTGCCAACAGAGGAGACCGTGCCCCTGGCGCCTTCACAGCCCTCCCAGGCTTCCCAGAAAGCCGAGAACAGTTGTGAACGCCCTGCGGCAACACAGGCTCCTCCCCAGAGCCTCCGTGTGGCCACGAGGCCCCTGGAGCTGGGAAGGGGTCAGCCGGCTGGCACCCACGCCCCTCCGAGCAGGCCCTGACGCCTTGAAGGCTGGGAACGCGCTCCGGATGCGTTCGCCAGCCGGCTCCTCCTGGGCTGACGAGCCTGCCAGAGAGAGGTTCTGGCCGCGCTCACAACCGTGTGCGAACGTCAGCTTTCCACGGAGCTCCCACGTGTGTCACCTCGTGTACGGAGGAGACACAGCGGGCCCAGTGCCACCTCACTGGCAGGTGGCGGAGCACAGGCTGCAGCCCGGCCCTCACGTGCCAGAGCCGGCGCCGCGCGCCCCGTCTGTCTCCGCCGGCTCCACTTCCCTCCTCACGACCCTGCGCCACTTGCTTTTTTCTTACTCCTCCGTCCTTCAGTGTAAGAGAAGCAGTTCAGGTGTCACTTTAAAAGAAGTATTGGAGACAGTTTTCAAGAAACGTCGTTATTTATGATAACGACAATACTGTGGTTTCCGGTTTTAGTTCTCTGAGAAGAGACTAGCTCCTGTAACCCAGTGCAGACAATCCATAAAACTCCAAGTGCGTGGGTTTCACAGGGAATCCTGCCCATGTTTTGCGTGCCTGTGCTGGAAGCAGGGGCTCCGTTCTGTCTCTCTGCTGTCCCCCTTCCTAGCGGCGTCTTCTGCCACTGGGCCCTGGCGCTCCGGAAGTGTTTGTGGAGTGGAGCTTACTGTGTCTCCGAACGTTTTGCACTTGAATGAAGCCCATGAATATTCCGATGTATCTGGAAGTTGAAATCATCTTAACAATAATAAGTCCCAGCCCTCCTTCCCCCAGACTTTGGGGAGCTGGCCTGCCCACCCCTCCATGGCCGAGGCCGCAGCCTGTGCCGGAGCCTGTGCCAGGGCCTGTGCCGGAGCCTGTGCCGGAGCCTGTGCGAGCTGTTATTGGCAGCCCCCAGGGCACCGGCCAGTCTTCGGCCCAGCCCCAGCCCCAGCCCCGATGGAGCTGACCTCGTTGTGTCAAGGTCACGAACGAGGAGCTCCGGGAGGGCAGGGGCTGCGTCTTCACCCCCGTGCCCAGAGCACAGGAGTTCCTCGCTACTCGCTTTCAGAAAGAAAGAGTAAGGGCTGAGTCAAAACGTTAGCTAAGTTATTGGAACCCAGTAGATGCATAAAAATACACTCGTGCCTATTTTGAATTGTTACATATGTGCTATCTGGGTGTAAACAAAACATTTTTTAAAAATCAGTGGGAGTTTTTTACTCAAGCATGTAGGAGACAGTTTTTTTGTATTTTACTCATTCCTCGTGGTAAACAGGTAGGCCACTGCACTCAAGAAGACAGACAAAACCAGACCCAGTCTCCCTCAAGTTGAAGAGCTCCCTCTTCAACAAGGAGGTGGCCCCTCGCCGAGTGGGGGTGGGGGGGGTGCCAGAGCGCTGTGCCCGCCCACGGTGGGAGGGGCCGAGCAAAGAGCCCGCTGCCCTCGGAAGGAGCGCTTCCTGCGGAGGGTTCTGTCCGGAGGGTTCTGTCCGGGGCGAGAAGCCACCCAACTGAGCTCCGGGCGAGGGACGGGGGAAATAAATCGGCCTCTGGGCAGAGGGGCGGAATGGCTGCGTGCAGCGGAGAGGCCGGTGAGCTCGGGGCTCGTTAGGGGGCCGGCAGGGGTCTGTTCGGGCTGCAGGCTAGGTCTGCGTGGGTCGGCGAGCGCCGGGCAGCGAGGCGACTGGATCACACGTGGGTGGGTGGGAGCGCAGTCGGCAGAACAGCTCCCAGGTCGCGGGGCAGGGGCCTGCGCTCTCCGGGCACAGTCCTCCTTCGAGTCTCCGGGGCGACGGGGGCGGAGGCACCACTGTTCCGGCCGCCGGATGCAGGCGGAGGAAGCCGCAGCCCAGAGGGAGCGAGTAACCCCCGGTTACGCGCAGGGTCGGGGGGGGGGGGGGGCTTGGCCCCCTAGCCCCCCTTGACCCCTGTGCTGCTGCACCGAGGGGCAGAATCGCTGGACCGTGGCGGCCGAGTGCGTGCAGGAGACTCGGTCGAACACAATGCGGTCGGTGTCGCACTCAGCGTGACAGCTCTTCTACTCGAAATTGGTGAAAACAGAATGTGGTGCGTCTTCAGTACCTAGATTAGTGAGTGAAGAAATCTGTGTAGAAGTTTGGAGTTTTCGATGTGTATTCTCTCGTAATACCCTATTTAATCTTAGTTATCCCCACCTCCTCAACTGTAACTCGTTTGACCAATGAAGAAGCTGAGGTTAAGTGACTAATCCGGAATCACAGAAATAACGATTGGGAAGCCTCAACAGGGGCCCTGAGGTTTCTGGTTCCGAGTCCACGGTGTTCGGACCGCGCATCACAGATGCAGCGTGCGCTGAGCACGGGATTTCTTGGGAAAGCTGTACATCTAGCTGAACGCACGCCGAGCCTCCCCGGGCGCCAGCCGAGGGCAGCCGGCGAGCCCGTGCGCACTCAGCGAGCTCGCCGGGGGCCAGTTCACGGGGGCGCCGACTGCCGGGGAAACAGAGGAGGGCCTGGCCCGGGACTGTGCATGTTAGGTGCCCAGGTGGATCTGCGAACAGTACGTGTTTCAGGGAGTCACAGTAGGGAGAGACACGCCTTGTCAAGGTCCCACCACTGGTGGTTTTGGGTAGAAAATGTGTGTCTCTGGGTTCCAGTACAGTACCGTGCTTCGAGCTAAAGACCGTCTTATGGATATACACTCCAGCTCGCCAGCGAATTTACTTCATGTTTTACTTTTTCTTCAACAGATGAAATGCACAACTTCACCTGCCAGGTGGTAAAAATGGCCGGACTAGGAGAAGTGGATTTCCTGACATTTGACCCCATCGCTAAAAAGAAAAACACTGTTAAATACGATATTCAGGCCGTAGCTGTCATTGTAATAGTGTTGAAACTGCTCTTTTTACTGGATGACAGTTTAGAATGGTAAGTGCGTGTCAATTTTATGAGGAAAAAACTGGGCTGTTTGTACCTCATTGTTCAGAGTGGAGGAGTCCCTGTGTTATCTCAGCAGAGAGCGGAGACGCTCAGTGTCACGGAACGTTGGCGAGCAGCAGCAGTTACTTCTTTCTTACGTAATGTCCGGGCTCAGCTGGGTGGCAGAGAGTTCACCCGCCTTAGTCGGTGGTTTGTCGCGTTTTGTTTCTGTCTGTCGGGTAGATGCACCTGTTTCTCATCGTCCCACTGACTCCTGAGTTTTCCGTCATCCTCAAATCCTAGAGAATTGGCGCCTCACCTGTGCGCCTCTGGGCTCCTGGCACCGCGTGTCTCAAAGAGTATTTTGGAAAGTAAAGGAATTTTAAAATGTCACCCCTCCCAAGTACCAGCGAAGAGTGCCAGTATCTGTGGGGCCTCCTTCCCGTCTCAGCGGTCACGTCTCCGTTGAAGCACCCACCGGTTTCAGGGACCGTTACATACGCCTCTTGCAGGGGAAGTCACAGTTTCACTGTCTCCCAGTGAGTGACTTCTGAATGGACGGACTTGTTTCTCCCCAGGTCTTTGTCTGCTGTTGCTGAGACACACAATGAAGAGAACAAAGAAGGTACCTAATTTTTTGTCAATCAAATTTAAAGATAATGTACTAAAGGATGCTGTAAATGCAGGGAAGAAACTTTGAAAATATACTTGTACACGTATACATAAGTTGTGTGTACCTTACACCAGGATTATTTTTTCGTGGAGTTATCTAGTGGTGTTTCGAGGCTGCAGAAAAACTCCGGTGACCCCTACTGTGTGTCAAGGCCAGCCGGCCTCTTCACTCGCGGCGCCGCCCCCTCGGCACACGAGGCCGTGAACTTAGCGGGCGGTCTTGCGGCTCAGCCGTCTGTTGTGATGCCTCCGGCCTTTGCGCAGACTGGCTCCCCTACCTGAAATGCGCCTGCCTTCCTGCCCCCCAACTCTCCGGTCCCCCGCAAATCCGTCTTCATTCCTCAAGATGCAACACAAATACTCTCTCGTCACACCTGCTCCCCACCCCGTTTCCGAATCAGGACCGATCCCCCCCCCCCCCGCGGCCACTGCCGCCCAGATGTCTAGCGCATGTGTGGCACGCTGAGTGCGGCCGTGGACCGAGAGCGTCTGTCCCCGCCAGAGCGTCCGTGTCTGTACAGTGCGTAGAAGAGGAGGTGCAGACGACTAGTCTTTCAGCCATCTCCCTCCTCGGGGCAGCCTCCCTTTCCTCCGACCCCCCCTCACTCTCCGGGCCTCTTTTCCGCTTTCCCTCGCATCCCCTTCCTCTCTCCCGACTCTGCCGCCTCACGTGGAGGGGGAGGAGTGACCGCCGGACCCCGTGGCACTCCGTGACCTCTCGCCTGGGCCTCTGGAGCCACGCCCTGTCCCATCACCCCCTCTCTCACCTGCCCCCAGGAGCTCTGGGCTTGGGTCAGGGCCGGGAAGCACAGGAGCAGGAGCTGGCCAAACTGGACGTCTGGATTCGGCTCCCGTGGTGCCGTTTCCCACGTTTGGCGATCGATCGTTTGTTCCTTCGCGCACATTGTCCCAGGCACATGGGACAGCTGGGTTCCGTGCCAGGGGCGGGCTGGGAGGCAGGGGCCTGGCTGTGTCGTGACAAACGGAGCGTGTCTTCCGGCCCAAGGAGGCAGGCCCCAGAGGGACAGACACGCGCGCACAGGCGGTTTCGGTGCGACCCGGTCAGGGTCGTGGTACCGGCAGATGCCCAGCGGAGGGAGAGGCCGGTTTCTCAGGAGCCGTGGCAGAGGCCAGAGACAGCGAGTCCGTCCACAACTTCCAGGGGCTGTTCCGTGAGTGTTCAGTCACGTCGGTGAATGAGGATCCCCGTGACCAATGTGCATGATTATAATGTGACTAATTTGGTTCATAATTGTGAGGGGTTTTTTGTTGTTGTTGTTTTTCAGATAAGCCATGGTTTGATTTCAGAAAATGGTACCAAGTCATGAAGAAATCTTTTGATGAGAAAAAACAAAAACTGGAGGAAGCCAGGGCAAAGTACGTCACCTTTTCTAGTTTTACATTCGCCAGCTCGTTTCCGAGTCTGTCACTCTGCACGTGAAGGCTGAGGGTCCATCAGTGTAGACTCCTCGGCATTGTAGAAATACCATCCTCTATACTCTAATGAGCTCTTTTCCTTAGTGGGGATGCCCCCAAAATAAAGATCCCTACAATAACCAGAACGAGGGACAGCAGAGAGCGCGTGTGTGGCGCGGCCAGTGCCGTGTCTGACGTGGCCCGAGGGGCGAGGAGGGAAGAGCGCGGACTCGGTGGCGGGTTGAGTCCCGACCGAGCTGCCGGCTCGCTGTGCGACCGACCGGGGGCCGCGTGGCCACTCCCCTTCGCATCCGTGCGCTGGACGGGGCTTGCGAGCCTGCAGAGGTGCCGCGCCGCGCGCAAGGCGGGGCGCCGTCCTGCCGGTCTCCGACTCGGACCCTTGCGCCTGTTCTTAGAACTTGGCGTCTCGGGGAGACGTTGAGGAAAACGTTAGTGTCTCTGTGTTTTACATACATTTACAACAACACTCACTTGTTGTAAATAATCTAAATCCTGTGGTCAAACCAAGTTGTTCAAAGTAGTTAATACGTCATGCAGTTCTCGTTTCCTCGTAAACAGGAATCGCAATGCCTGCTCCGCGCTCTGAGAACTGAAGCTCGGTTTTCCCGGGCGGACTAGGCCTGCCCCTCCGCGTCTGCGAGTGCGAGACGTGAGCAGGGCAACGGGCTTCCGGGCAGGGCAGGGCCCGCGGTGCCTCTGCTGGCCCGGCCGCGCGCGCGCGCGCGCGGGGCTGGAGCAGAGGCGGGAGGCGAGCGTGCTGCACACCGGGCTGTTCCGCTCCCGGAGTTCTCCGCAGCATGCAGGGCGTGGTGGCGTCCTGCGGGAAACCTTAGGACTTTGTCGTGTGTCTCTGTCTTTGTAGATGTTGTAGTTTGGGAAAAGGGTCAACAAGGCAAAGTAAATCCTGAAGGAGAAGTGTGGCCGGAGTGCTGTCACTTTAGATTGCGCCCCCCCAGGTCCTTGGCGTGTGACCCCCGAGAATTATTGGGTCGGCCAAAAAGCCCCTGTGGTGTTTTCCTTAAAACACAAGACACAGTTTTCATTTTCACCAACAACTTCGTTTACTTGGACATTTTGAGCATGCTGGCTCTCTCCCGAGTGCTAGACCATTGACTGTTCTCAGTTTGTGTCTCGATGTGATCACTATTGCCTTCCACGGGTCCCCCGACCGTGGAGCACCGTCCCGAGAGGAATCTGCAGCAGGAAACTCCGCAAACCACTTCTGACACGTTCGACCAGTCCCAGCCCCTTCTCCACGCACTGCACACATCTTTTCTTTGTGTTTCTGTTGCATTATTACTTTTCTTGAAATAATAAAGCATACATAATACACTGAAAATGTTACATTTCTTCCTCCATCTTCAATATTAAAATGGCTACACAAAAATTCCCCAATTTTGATAAGTTTTCTTAAATGCACGCTGACAGGACAGCTGTCATCACATAGTCGAACAAAACTCGAGTGAAGGCAAAGACAGCTAAGTGCTGCCGGAGCCGGCCTGCAGCGCACGGGGAAGACCGAGCGCGCTCTGTGGCCGGTCCCACCGCACACCCACCCCCTCGAGCAGCACGCTGACACCCGTGTGGCGCCTCTGGAGGCCCCTGGTCCCGCTCTCCCCGGGGACGGGCAGTGGCGGGCCTCTCCAGAGACCGTGGTTAGAACTGTTCAGTGTAGGAAGTTTTTTTTTTTTCTCTCTTCCCTTTTGGGAATTTCTTAATTATTTGGGAGATTTTTTACTTTGAGTATGTTGTTACATTTATTACTTAAGAAAATAAAAAAGATATTCGAAAGAATCACAAACTCACTGACTGAAGCGTAAACGCCAGGTTCCCTGCTGTGTGCGAGTTGCGGCGTGGCTCACGGACACGCAGTTTACGCCTGACGTTCAGAACGGCCGCCGCTGTCACCGGTGGGCGTGCGTGACCTCACTGCTGCTCCCTGGTGACCGGGTGATTAGGGGAGTTTCGTTTCTGGTAGTGTCTTAAGTTGCCATGAGAACTCAAAGGAAGAGCCAACACCTTTGTTTCATATAAAGTCAAGATTTTATGGATTTGAGCAAGTCTTTGTGAAGAATTCCTTGAGAAAAATCTTAATTCTTAAATTGGTAAAGATGATCATTTGCTATCATAATATTCCTAAAATATTTATTTTTATATGTATTTTCTTTCCCAGCATTAGAAAAGGAGGGAGAGAAATTGCCCATTATTGAATACTATAAATTTTAAAAAGTGAAAATATATGAATTTCTGACTTTCTGTTGCTCATCAGCCGTTTCTTTAGGAAGCCCACGGGTGCTGTTGGGTGCTATCCAGCACTGGGGCACGGCTACCCCTGACCGCTGTGTGGGACCCAAAGCAGCACCACGCACCTCGTGCTAACTCTCCCCGCAGCGGCCCTGTCCCCACAGGCAGGGCTGGAGACGCCGCGTGCCCTCGTTTGCCCGTTCACGCACCCATGCGCTCTCCAACGGACACACACGGGAGGCCTCCCCAAGGGCCGTCACCGCCAGCGTCGGGGACGAGGAGCAGGGGAGGCCGCCTCTGCCGTGGAGAAGCTCAGAGGCTGTCACGCGTGACTCACGCAAGGCCAGGCCCCAGGAGGCGGGAGAGCCCAGCCCTCTGACTCAGCCTCCTTCCGGCGGCTGCACGGCCTCTTGGAGTCAGAACTGCCCCTGGGTCAGGCAGGAGGCCGTTCTTCTTTCTCACTGCGTTCGGAAAGCCCCGCCCTGGGAAACGCGGGGTCCCTGAAAGTGGGACTACAGACGGACACTAAGTGTCAGCCTGGCCCCAGGGCAGCCGTCTCCTTGGCAGCGTCTGTGGCTGGAGTCTGGGACTAGAAAGGGAGCCTGTCCCTTCGCGTTGGCCTGGCTGCAGGCCGGTGGCCCGCAGTCGGGAGGAACCCCAGGGGACCGTTGCGGTTTGCTCTGGGGGGACGTTTGTAGATCAGCGCGGCAGCTCCACGGTGCGGTGGAGCCCCCCCACCCCCCCTGCTGGGCTGCCCGGGGTCAGGACAGGTGGAGTCAGGTGAGGAGCAGGACCGGGTCGTGCCGGAAGCCCGGACTTTCCTCCTCGTTCCCACCAGCGGCGGGTTGACTCCCAGGCATTCGGTGACAGAGGCCGGGCACTCACCGTGCCCTCTGCCTGCTCATCGGAATCAGAAGAACCACTCACTCCGTCTCTCGGCCAGAGGGAAGCTGGGCGAGGGCGAGGGCAAGGGCGAGGGCAGACCGCTGTGCCCGGGTGGCTTCACCTGGGGAGAACAGGCAGCAGGAGAGCTTCCCGGGGAGGGGAGCCACTGCTGTGTTCGTTGCCTGTGTGATGAACAGCTTCTTCGGGGACTCGTGGCGCCGGGAGGCTCCCGGCGGACACGCTGTGCCATGCCGCTGGCTGGTCCCTGCTCCGGTGCCCCTGGCGCCCCGCCAGGCCGTGAGCCCTCTGGGCGCGCGTCCCTGGGTCACTCTGAGCCGGAGCAGCCTTCACACCGCGTTTCAGCGGTTTCAGACGCTGCTGCAGAGAAACTTCTGCGAAACGGGCCGAGGTCAGTTTCTTCTAACCCCGCTCCAACTGTGTCTCTGCCTTGCACAGGTACGTGTGGAAGAGCGAAAAGCCACTCTACCACTCCTCCATCGACAGATCGGTGGCGTACAAAAGAAGGGGTGAGTGGCGTTTTCTCTTATCAGTGCCAAGTAGCAGCGCAGTTGTAGAGGAGCGAAGTGTCTTGGCTTGAGAAGTGGATGCGTGAGTGGTTTTTTCTTTCTTACCAAGTGTTCCAGTGCACGTGCAAAGGCACATCACCCTCTGCAGGAACTCTCCACAGGGCCCTGGCCAGGTGGCTCACTGGGTTGGAGTGTCGTCCCACACACCTAAAGGTTGTGGGTTCGAGCCCCAGTCAGGGCACTTACCTAGGCTGCAGGTTTGCTCTCCGGCTGAGGTGCATATGGGAGGCAACTGATTGCTGTTTCTCTCTCTCTCTCTCTCTCTCTCTCTTTCTTTCTCTAAAGTCAATAAACACATCCCCCAGTGAGGACTGAAAAATGAAAGTGAGGAAACTCCGTAGGAGTCTGTCTCAGGGACATGTGCCGCCATCACACCACACAGCGCTAGCCCTCCCACCCCAATCTGGCGTCCTGCGTTCCCGTGGCTCTCGGAACTCTGTCCGCAGGATTGCCTTTAGGCTGTCTCGTTTATTGTTTAAATGTGGTGAATATAGATAACACACGATTTACCACTTTGGCCTGTTTTCCGGGGTTCCCGCGTACCTCCCATCTGGTTCCCGTGGCCCCTCATGTCCTTGCCCTCCATTCCCACGGGCGCTGGTCACACTCCGAGACCAGCTGTGAGAGGCAGTTGCTGCCGAGTGGACCCCAGGCTCCGTCCGAGTGTAGCACTAGTTTTATTTCCCTCCTCCCCTGCTTCTCCACTTCCAGAGATGGTGGTCAATCTACAGAAACAGTTTAGCATGCTGGTTGATTCCACACCGACTGTCGCAAGAAAAAGCCCTTCGAGTTTTCAGTTCAACTGGACGGGAGACGCGGATGGGACTTGTTTCCACGGACACAGCCTCCAGGGGGCCCTGGAGAAGAGGGGCCAGTCGCTGACCACCAGGAACGCCCTGTACTGGCTCAGCACGCAGAGGTTCTGTAGAAGGTATGTGACCCGTGCGGAAATCGAAGGGCAGGACACAGGACAGAAGCTCTGGTTTGCGCTGAGGTGGTATTCTTTTCTAATTTAAAAAACAAAACCTCACGTATAATCTAAAGGAGTCGGCTACAGCGAGAGCCAGGCAGGTTGTTGGAAATAGAAGACTGTGCGCTGATGGTCAAGAAAATTGGGATTACACATGGAGTCTCGTGTAGGAGTTTTAGGCACGGAGACATCTTGTTGTGATGCACGCTTCACAGTCTGTGAACGCACCGACTCATCAGCACGTGGTGCACGTAAAGCCCGTGTGTCAGCCGCATCTCAGTGCAGCCGGGGAAGGTCCAGGTTACAGAGCCTTTCCTTATCGTGAAGGGTCTCTCTCTGCGGACCTCATTCCCACGCCGACGCGGCACTCGCCCGTAAGCCGTTTCCTACGGCAGTTAGGAGGACGCACGAACGTTCCCGGCTGCTCGCGTCCCAGTGTGGCCGCCGCGTGCCGGTTGCGGGCGAGTTACGTGCTGGCTGTCGTACACCGTCGCCCTCGCCGTGGAGACAGGGTGTGACGCTGCCCTCCTCCTCTCTCCCCTCCCCTCCCCCTCATCTCCCCCTCCCCCAGGGGCTCCCGTCCTTTCCGGAGGAAAGCCTGCCGGCCCCTGCTGTTCTCTGGCCTCGACGTCCACCCCTCCGTGTGCCCGCTGCCCCGTCCATGTCGGCCTCCTAGCGCTTCCTTGCATGTGTCGCGTACATGCCCCACGCGGGCCTTTGCGCGTGCAGTGCCTCCAGCTGGAACGCTCCTCCCCCGTGTACCCACGCGGGCTCACTTCTTTCGGGGTTTCGCTCACAGCTCACCTCCTCCCAGAGGCCTTTCTTAGCACCCCCTCCCGCCCAACACACCCCATCACTCGCCACCCGCCTTGCCTATTTCCTTTTCCCTTGTAGTTTTTGTCACTGTTGAATGCGTTACAGTGTCTTGTATTTATTTTGTGTATTGGTCTGCCCCCTCGCACTGGAACGGAAGGTCCTTTAGCTGGGACTCTGTCTTATTTATTGAAAAACCCCAGGGGCTAGGACAGGGCCTGGCTGTTTACCGAGTGTTTGTTGAATGAATGAATGAATGAATGAATGAAAAGTGGAAGCTGCGCTGTAGGTTCCTTATGAGAGAGAGTTACAGGAGATATTTATGGTGTCTGTCACATAGTAAATGCTCAGGAAATGATAACTGTGATCATTATGATTATTTTAATCAAAACTAATTTTCTATTATAATGGCATTTTACTACCTGAGTTGTGTGTCAAGGTAATAAGATGCAGATGATAAAATGAGGTTACCTGTATTAAGATGAACCGTTCAAAAGAGCTGAGCTACGTCTAGACGGGTTAAGGAGTCGGGCAGACTTAACAGCAGTAACACAAAAGGCCAGATCTCAGCCCAGAGCAGGCGCCACAGCGAGGGCTCCGTTCGTTTGCGGGGGTCCACGCCACGGCTTTCCCGGGTGGTAAGGCCCCGCTGTAGTCCTGGCCGGTGCGGAGCACGCACCAGACTCTGCTGCTGGTCTCTGCCCCGTCTGGGGTCACGGTGGGGCCTGTGAGTTAGCGGGACCTCACCCCCGTGTGCCTGTCAAATGGCGCTGAGCGAAAGCCTGCAGGAGACTTCAGATCTGAGGCAGAGCTAACAGCCTTCGTAAACGTAACTGCCCCTCACGCCGCTCACCTTTGTAGAGGCCCCTGTCTGAATGCAGGCCAGTTACTGACCGTTAGGCCCAGAGGCCTGCCGCGGGCGCCGGCTGGTGGGGTGTCCGGCCCCGAGCCCCTGAGAGGGGAGGCCGCTCACCTGCCCTCCTACGGGAAGGGGGCTCGGCGGGGTCTCCCAAGTTGTCTTCATGGGAGGGGGAGGGGCTTGGGGTGGCCCACAGAAGGGGGGCTTGAAAATTTGAGGATTTATACTTAACTGTGTTTTAAACTATAGTAAAAAAAAATACCCAAATATGTCATATGCCAAATTGGAACACACTCGAGACCACCGAGACGCTCACCTGTGTCCCCAGGGCCATTTGTCTGCCTGGGGTGCGGACGTCGGACCGTTCCCTTCGCACACGCTCGGCCTTCCCGTGCGGAGGGCTGTGCCCTGCACCGCCCCCGCCTGCCACCTGCAGTGTCGGCAGAAACGCGCTCACACCGCATCCGTCGGCCCCGCGGAGCAAGGAGGTTCACCTGGCCCGCGCTCTGCTCGTGGCAGAGTGCTGGGCAATAGAAGCCGCCCCGTAACTCGGGGGTAGCTTTCTGAGCTCGTGGTGAAGAACGTAGTCTTCGCACGGTGTCGCCAGTGCCTCAGCTCCGAAACAGAAGGCCACCGCGGGGAAGACTCCGTGAGCCTCGCCTTACCCTTGTGGTGTGGAGGCAGAGCCTCCCGTGTGGCACCCCGCAGAGGAGCACCACTGCTGCCCTCGCTGGGGTGATACTGTATCCAGAAGCTTCTCTCCTGAAATAGTGAACTTAGACATGAGAAAGGGAGGAAAGCGAGAGACCACCATGTTTGTGAGGGTTCCCGTCCAGTGGCTTGTGTTTCGTTTCTGTGAGATCGGTCCACGACGAAACCGCCGCGGCTTTTCCGTGTCCTGCTGCTGAGTATGGCGGGGTGTTGGCCTTGTCGTATGTTGTAAGAATTGCTGCAAGATTTAAAGTGGAAACAAAACATCAGTTTTGAAGGAGTGTAGGGAGATGCACAATTCTGAGCCCTGCTGTGTGCCGCGGGCCCCCGGAGTGAAGTCCCGCACACACATCACACTTCGGGCCGTGAGTGGGCGGGGCGCTGCTCCGCCTCCCGCTTTGCGGGCGAGAGCACCGGGCGGAGGAGGCCGGCGGGCGGCAGCGTTTTACAGAGCACATAGAAAAATTCAGGAATTCGGGATCACATGTTACAGAAACCATATCTAAAAGTCTGTGTTCTCTGTCTGTTGCCTGCTTGTTTTTTAAACTCTTTTATTATGGAAAATGTCAAGTGTATTCCAAAGCAGAGGGAACGGAAGGCGCCCGTTATTCAGCCCCAGGGCCGGTCCGCAGGGCCGGACCTGCCGCACCAGCGTCCGACTCAGGCCTCCGCCCCGCCCCCCAGACTGTTTGGGAGCGAATTCCCAACAGCAATGTATTTTTAAAGCAAAACCATAACGCCATTAGTTAGACACACAAAAAAATCCTAATAATAATTCCTTAATATTACCTAACATGCAGTCACTTTTTAGATTTTTCCCATTGTTGTATACTCTTTAAAATAACTCGGAATCCAGATGAGATCCCTGCATTGTCAGGGGCTGAGTTCGTAAATTCCTCCTTTATCTCCTTGCTGCCCCTCGCAGTTCCCTTGGTGAGTAACCCAGGTCACGTGTTCTGTGCAATCTCCCACGCCGCACAGTTGATATCACAGTGCCGTAAACCGTTGGAAGCTCCTCTGTCCGCTGGATTGCCTCTGCCTCGGTGTAGTTAGAGTTAGTCACAGACCGACAGTTAGAGGTAGAGATTTGGTTGGATTCAGGTTCTACTTTACGATAAGTGAGATTGCTTTCTAAACTCTTCTTCCTGTAGCATGTGCAGGATTGGAAGTGTGGAACAGGGTCAAGCCTGGTGTCTCGTTTTGGGTGGGGGTCCGGGAGTATTTGCTTTCTTTTGTTGGCTTTAAAAACAGGTCCAGAAGCTCTGCTGGTGTGCTTCTGTTTGCCCTGGTCCTGGTGAGACGTGGCCCCCCCCCCCACCCCCCGAGCGGCAGGGCCTCCGGGCCCGGGGCTGTGAGACCTGGCTCCAATGCCACCTTTGTGTCCCCTGCATGGCGACCAAGGGCCAAGCGAAAGTATTCCCCTCTGTAAAATCAAGGAGTTTTACCAAATTATTCTCAGTTTCCTTCCAGCTCAGATCACTATGTTCAGCCTAAACATGTATACTTGTCCAGTTATTTGAGAGATGTTCAGAGGAGTGACGCACACTTTTCTAGATGGCCATTTAAACCTAACATCTTCCTTTCTTTTCTTCCCTTCCAGCTATTGCAAACACGTGACGACCTATGAAGAATCAAATTTTTCTCTGACTTATCAGTTTATACTCAATCTCTTCTCCTTCCTGCTGAGAATAAATGTCTACTTCCTCCATGAAGAAGTGAGCTTGATTGAAAAGAGACTTTTTAAAACAAAATACAGTAAAGCAAAAAAGAAATCTTCGAGATCCAGGAAAGTGAGAAAATGAGAAAAATAAAATAGAAACTTTGTTGGGAAAATATTTTATTAGTGACAGTAATGTCAAATTGTAATATAGTATTCCAGAGAATTATGGAAAATAGAATTTTTTGCACATATGCCCATGCATAGGCAGATATGCAACATATGTTACATAGAGATTGTGCTTATAAAATGTATATTGGAAGACAAGTGAACTTTGAATGCATTTTTTAAGTTATAAATATTCTTTGAGAAAATTAAAAGTGTTATAAAAGTGGTAACCAGAAATTTGTGTTCATTGTAATGTAGAGCTAAATTTGCTTTTTAAACTAGATCACTTCTTGCTCTTTATGCCCGAAAGTAAATCCCAGATGAATCGAAGATCAAAACACTATAATCTTTTACAAGTATCACAAGAAAGCAAGGATGAATGCTTTGATGCTCTTACAACAGAGAAGGGCTTCTTAAGCATTCCTGAAAACCAGAAGCCAAGAGGAAACGATTGAGAATGTGAGTACGAAGTCAAAGGTAGATGAGAAACGGGAAAAAGACACTTGTATCATTTGATGGACGAAGGAATAATTTCCCTAATGGATCAGTAGTTCTTTTAAAGCAATAGGCAAGTGACAAGCTGAGCCAGAGATATGAAAAGATAGCTTTTTGTAAAAGGAAGTATAAAGCCCAAGCCAAAAAACCGAAGGTACTCCACCTCACTCAAATTAGAGGCGTGCAGACTAAAAGAGCTATGACGTCCCACATGGTAGATCGGCAAAGATTACGAAGGCTTACAGTGCCCGCAGAGGCTATTAGAAAATCAGGCGTTTTTCTTCGGTTCGCTTATTCGCGCAGCACACGCTAACGGAGCCACGTCTGCGTGCCACCCGCGCGACAGTGTCCCCGGCCGGGCCGGGCACCGCAGATACGCGCCGGACATTCGGTGTGAGCTAGACCCCTGCCTCTGAGGACCCGCTGGCCCGGCGGCGGGGACCCGCGGGAAGCAAATACAAAGTACTTTGGGGAATGAAGTGCAACGAAGAAGCGGCAAGGTAATAGGAACATGATGGGGCGGCCGAGTCGTGACAAGCCGCTGGAAACTGAAAACCACCTGCGATCCACCCTGCGTGCTGAAAGGCTCAACTGGCCGGTGAACAGACTGCGGGGCGGGCGGAGAGGCGGCCTGGGAGACTGGGTCGCGCGGGTGCCGACGGGAGTTCGTGCTCCCACGCCAGTGCTCGGGCGCGGGTGCCGGAGGGAATTCGTGCTCCGGCGCGGGTGCCGACGGGAGTTCCTGCTCCTGGCGCCAGTGCTCGGGCGCGGGTGCCGGAGGGAATTCGTGCTCCGGCGCGGGTGCCGACGGGAGTTCCTGCTCCTGGCGCCAGTGCTCGGGCGCGGGTGCCGGAGGGAATTCCTGCTCCGGCGCGGGTACCGATGGGAGTTCCTGCTCCTGGCGCCAGTGCTCGCGCGCGGGTGCCGGAGGGAATTCCTGCTCCGGCGCGGTGCCGATGGGAGTTCCTGCTCCTGGCGCCAGTGCTCGCGCGCGGGTGCCGGAGGGAATTCCTGCTCCGGCGCGGGTGCCGATGGGAGTTCCTGCTCCTGGCGCCAGCGCTCCGGCGCAGGTGGCGGTGGCGGCAGCCTGGCGGCAGTCTATCCCGCCCCAGGCGCTGCTGCGGTGGGAAGGGAGCAGGCCTGGCCTCGGCCTCGGCATTGGCGCCTCTAAGACTCTAAACGCTTGTCGATAAAGACGGGTTAAGCCTCGGAGGGGCTAGTGTCATGCCCAATCCTGATACCGGGCAGAGGGGCTGAGTGCCGCACAGACGTACAGGCCGCAGGCGGGCTTGCGGCTCCCGGCAGCTGGGTCCCGGGCTGGCCTTGCAGTGGCGGGTGGCGGGTGGGGGCCGCGGGCCGATGTGTAATCTCCTGTCGGATGAGATCATACATTATTCTATCACTACAGTGACTTGTGGTATCTGTCTATTTGGGCGGAATCTATTTTATGAACATTTTATTTATTTTTTAATTAAATACCACACTACTGCGCAGAAACATAATTTCACCCTTTAGGAAACCACCCGAAAGGGAAATGAAACCAAGTGCGAGTTCACGTGGTCCCAGATCAAGTCACTGTTGTAACAGTGCAAAATCGGACTTCCAGGGGCAGAGGGTGGAATGCAGCAGATACTTCTGGGGAAGAAAAAAAGTCCTTAAATTGTCTTTCAGCGATTAGTGCAAGCGCATGGTCATGAGAATGGAGCGTGTCTGTGTGGAGCCTGAGTCGAATGGCGAGGTTTCAGTGGTCTTAGCGTCAAATTTGGGTCATCCAAACAGCATACAGAACACAGCCGTGAAGCACTCATTCAGCACCTATCGTGTGGAGTATCGTATAGGTTTTCTCATTTAATACAGCCAGATACATCTTTACAACTGTAGCAACTCCAAGTTTAGTCACAGAAGGGTTAAAACAAGCTTTAACATGTTTTAAGTTAAAACAATTAGTGAATGTACGAGAGCCTTTTCCCACAAAAATGCAGAACATTGGCCCAAATACTCCATTAATCTACAGGGATATCGCATACATTTTGAACATAGTTTTGTTGGTTGTTGGGTTTTTTTTCTCTCTATCCTTCAAAAAATGCAAGTTTTTAAAAAATTTTTATTATTATTTTTTTAGATAGGGAAGGGAGGGGGGAGGGAGAGAGAGAGAAACATCAAAGTGCGGTTGCTAGGGGTCGTGGCCTGCAACCCAGGCATGTGCCCTGACTGGGAATCGAACCTGTGACACTTTGGTTCGCAGCCCAAGCTCAATCCACTGAGCTACGCCAGCCAGAGCTAAAAATGCAAGTTTTTTTAGGCCATTTGGGATTCTGTGTTAGACTTAAAAGCAAAGGGAGTGCCTTCTACCTGCCAGCCCTGGCCCCTGTCCCATCAGGCCAGGCCGCGTGACTATGGGATGTAACGCTGCAGAGTTAGTAGGTGACAAGGCAGAGGCGCCTTATCTCCCTGAAGGGGCGGGGGCTCGGGCTTGTCCTCGCTACACCTAACCGGGCCTTTTAACACCCAAAGGGAGGAGAGCCCAGGAGTGGGGGGGTGCCTACAGTTCTCTGTTATCTCTGGTTGTGTTTTGTTTGTTTGTTTTATTCCAGCGTCACAAAGCCGCCGCGGGGAGGGGGGCCAATATTAATTCAACCCCATGCATAGTCACACAGAAAGACACGCTGCTCAAGGGAGCGAAGGAGCAATCTGTCAGCGCCTTAAGGAAAACCTTGAGTAGAATTTGCAAAATGTGGCAGCTGTAAAAGTTGGGCGAATCATTCTGTACTGCGAAGAGTGAAAAGTGTGTGTTTCTACCTCACGCAGGTAGGCAGGTGACATTTTGAATGTAAAATGCCTCTGCACCTTGAAAGCTGAGTAAATCCACACCCATGAAGCCTCTTAAAAAATGTCTGCAAGGCCCTTGGTGTCTCCCGCGTGCTGTGTCCCTGTGAAGCGCTTCAGTGTCAAGTGGTTTCAATGCCAGAATGACCTGATGATTCGCTGCGACTTGAGAAGAGCTGACGAAAGCGTTCTCTTATTGACTCTGTGAGTTAAGAACCTGGCATTTCAGCTCGCTTGGCCTTGTGCCCTTCCGCGACAGCTCCTTCCTTCTGGAACAATTGGTGCACGTTTTACGGATATTTGCATTGAACTGGGTGACTCACAGGTACTCCCAAAGGAATTTTAAGTTAAAATACCACTCAGGTGTAATTACCTTTCGTCACCATTGTCCTCCACATTAATTCAGATTGGGTGATCAAGTTAAACATTCCCTACAATGAAAAAGGCGGTCTCCGAATTTTAAAACCCCCAAGATGAACAGAAGGAAAAATGTGTTCTGAACCATATTAGGGGGTAAGAAAACACTATAAAACATATTCGCTTATTTTTAACTTTCTCTCCTTAGGAATTCACACCAGGATAAAAATCTCCCTGGGAAGGTATGCTGTGCTTGAGGCCCCTTGGCCCCAGGCAGTCCCCCTCCCAGGGCCTGGGGCAGGGGCAGGGGCTCCTCTCCACTCCCCTCCGTCTGTCACAGACTTTCTCCAGGGGCCTGGGTCGTCCTCAGGACCAGGGCGATGCTCCTCAACACTGCAGGGGGCTCCCCTGCCCGCCCCTCCCCGCCAAGGCTTGGGGATCTGAGTGGGTGGGGTGGCCTTTACCTCGGGGCACCCCCCATGTCCACCCGCACGCACAGAGGGTGGGGCGCCCAGCCTCCCCTGCAGTCTGTCAGTTCCCCAGCATTCCCCCGTCCCAGTTTCGTGTATCCCGTGGACGGCCTCTGCCTGTGTCCTGTCATCCTAACTCGCAGCAAATCTTGGGAGCCGGGCAGCCTCTCGTGGCCCCGTGCAGAACCCTACGTCCAGCAGGTGTTCAGAGCTGTCTTTGAGGACGGCAGTGATGATAAAAAGGGGAAATTACAAAAACTTTCCTAGTTTTCCTGTCAGTTACTGCAGGGTGATGATCACTATTTAATGAATGAACTCATCTGTCTGCCTTCATGTTGCCGTGATGATCCCATTGGAGTAACTGTGAAAGCCGAAGAGAGAAATGGGCATAACTTTCGCCCCTGGCGTACCTACCGCCTCCCCAGACACCTACACAGTGTACCGGGCGCCGTTCCGAGCCCTGGACACAAATCGCCTCTCGTAATCCTCTGAATGACCCCACAGCGTGGTTTTGTGTCACTTTACCAGTAAGGACACTGAGACCCTCTGATCCCAGGCCGCCTAGTCCCCCAGCGTCTGTGGTCCTCGCCAGCTCGCAGCCTCTCGAGGGCCTGAACCCCTGCTGATGTCAGTTTGGGAGGAAGAAGAAAAGCCTTTACGGCTGGAGTGGACCCTCCCCACCACCCCCGAACCTCCACCCCAAACCTGTCTGTCCCCTGCACCCCTCATCACAGCACCATCTGCCTAGTCACCCAAGCTGTGGATCCCAGGCCCTCTCTGTCTGTCGCCCCCACCGTCTCACCCGTCAGTCACCCTGACAGTTCCGCCAGCGGGTGCTCCTCTGGCAGGTGTCCAGGCCTCCGTAGGCATCGTCCAGCCCAGCTCAGGCCCTTGTCACCTCCCTCCCAGCGGGTGGCGAGAGCTGTCTCCTTCCCAGGCGTGTGTCCTTCTGCCGGGGGTTTCCACAGATAGAGCTAATAGCACCGTGAGGCTCAAAGTCCCACCACCACCCACAGCCAAGGGCTCAGCCGGGGGGGTCGCCTCCCTTACCCCTGTTCCTTCGGTCTCAGGCAA